ATGACAGGTACTGCCTGTGTCCCTTGGGCCTTTACCTACTTGCCTTTTCCCCTCTAGCCTTGCTCCCTCTTTCCAAGCCCAGTCCCTGGAGAAGGGTAAGAGAATGGGAATGTTTAGCTCAGTTTTCTGGTCCTCTTTTGGGTTTATGCCCATATGGGTCAAATGAGGGATTGGTTCAGCAGGTGCACACTGCCTACAAAATGTTGCCCATAATACTCTGCTAAGAAGCAGCACAGGGAACTAGTTAATAGCATGTAGCCAGAGCCCAATTACCTGGGTTAAAATTTGAATCTCAGTTTCCTCATTTATAAAATGGGGATGACCGTGACTTCTACCTCATAGCGCTCTTATGAAATTAAATACATTAATATATTTAAGTGCTTAGAATAGTACTTAGTCCACAGTGTAAGCACTACATAAGTGCTTTTATATTTTATTTTTTAACTTTTTCAATCCAGTTAAGTCCATCTGGATTTGGGTGTGAGAATGAGTGGATGGGGCTATAAAACGGGGTACAGAACTTCTCAATGTATCCCAGTAGTTGGGTGATTCCCAGCAGTGTTTATCCTTGATCCTGGCCCAGAAAGAAGTATCCAGCTATCTGAAAGGCCTTCTACTTTGCGGCACGTGAGCAGCTGAGTAGAATGTTAGTATGTTCCACTTGAACTCATTTCCTCTTCAAGTGGGAAGGTCATTTGGTGTCAGACTTCATACATACCACCATCTTTCACTAAGAGGCTCTTGATTTTCTGACTTTCCATCCAGCCGGACACATAATTATGTGATTTGGAACTTTTTTTTAAATATATTTTTTTTGTGGTACATACCCCTAGCAGGAACCGAACCCGGAACTCTCTGGTCCGCAGGCCGACGCTCCACCGCTGAGCCAAACTGGCCAGGGTTTTAATATGTTTTCATTAATCGTTTAGAGAGAGAGGAAGGCAGAGAAAGATAGAAATATCAATGTGAGAGAAAAACATTGATCAACTGCCTCCTGCCCGCCCCCTACTGGGGATCGAGCCCACAACCCAGGTGTGTGCCCTGACTGGGAACGGAACCAGGACCTCTCAGTCCTTAGGACACCACTCAATCCACTGAGCCACACCGGTTGGGTTGATTTGGAGCTTTTTTTTTTTTTATTCCTCACCTGAGGATATTTTTCTATTTATCATCAGTTAGAGTGGGAGGGAGGGAGAGAGACAGACAGAGAGAGACATTGATGTGATAGAGCCACATCAACTGGTTGCCTCCTGTATGACCAGACCAAGGTCAGGGACAAACTGCAAGTAAGGTACCCGCCCTTGACCGGAATCGAACCTGCGACTCATTGGTTCGAGGGCCAACGCTCTAACTGCTGAGCCAAACTAGCCAGGGCAGCTGATTTGGAGCTTCTAAGTGATCCTGAGGAGAGCAGAAACATCACAAGGAACCAGGAGCCAGTGGACAGGAGACAGGAGGATTGGGGCATGAGGACTGTACTGGGTTCTGAAGCTTGGAGGACAACCTCTTCCTGGAAATTCAGTCCTTGCTCAAGGAGGCCGGGGGTTTCCTGCTAGTAGCCATGGCTCTTTGGCTGGGTCTAGGTTCCATTCCCCAACTCTCTTCCCCAACCCCTATTCTGAAGCTCTCCCTGTCCCTTTTATTATTATTATTATTTTATTTTATTTTTTTATCCTCACCCGAGGACATTTTTCCATTTTTTATTCAGACAGAGTGGAAGGGAGAAAGAGAGAGAGAGAGAGAGAGAGAGAGAGAAACATCGACGTGAAAGGGACACATCGAGTGGCTGCCACCCGCACAACCAACCAAGGCCAGGGACAAACTGCAACGGAGGTACGTGCCCTTAGCGGGAACCAAACCCAGGTCTCTCTGGACCGCAAGCCAACGCTCTAACCGCTGAGCAAAACTGGCCAGGGCCCTTTTATTATTTTTTGCTACCACTTCCCAATAGAATCACAGAATTATAAAACAAATTTGTAAGTGTGCTGGGCCCATAAAACAAATTTGTCATGCTTGGGATCAGATCAAATGTTATAATACCTTACAGTTGCTTTAAGGTTTTTTGTTGTTGTTAATCTTCACCCTAGGATATTTTTTTATTGATTTTTTTTAGATAGAATAGAAGGGAGGGAGGGGGAGAGAAGCATAGATGTAAGAGAGACGCATCTATTGGTTGCCTCCCTCATGACCCCGACTGGGGCCGGGGATTGAACTTGCAACTCAGGTATATGCCCTTGACCAGGAATGAAACACACGATCCTTTGGTCCTCAGGATGATGCACTAACCACTGAGCAAAAGCAGCCAGGGCACTTCAAGTTTTTTGTGTGTGTTTTTTTCTTACTGATTTTTAGAAAGAGAGGAAGGGAGCCGTGGCCGGTTTGGCTTAGTGGTTAGAGCGTCGGCCTACGGTCCAGAGAGACCCCGGTTCGGTTCCCACAAAGGGCATGTACCTGGGTTGCAGTTTGTCCCCGGCCCTGGTTGGGTCGTGTGGGTGGCAACCACTCGACGTGTCCCTTTCACGTCGATGTTTCTCTCTCTCTCCCTCCCTCCTTCCCTTCCTCCCTTCCTCCCTCCGACTCTATCTGAACAATATATGGAAAAATGTCCTCTATCTGAACAAAATATGGAAAAATGTCCTCGGGTGAGGGTTAAAAAAAAAAAAAAAGAAAGAGAGGAAGGGAGAGGGAGAGAGAGATAGAAACATTGATGAGAGAGAACATTGATTGGCTGCCTCCTGCATGTCCCCCACTGGGGATCAGGCCTACAACCTGGGCATGTGCCCTGACCGGGAATCGAACCGGTGACGTCTTGGTGCATGGGTCAATGCTCAACCACTGAGACACACTAGCTGGGCAATAAAAATTGAATTATATCATTCATGCTGTTCTATAAGTTGTTTTGCTGTGGGTTTTGTGGGTTTGTTTGTTTTTTTTTAACATAAAGTGTATCTTGTTTTTCTCTTTAAAACAATTAAAATCCACAGGAAGAGTATAACAATCATCCATGTATCTCTGACATCTTTTGTCAGTACATGTAAGACATGTTTTTTTAACGGCTGCAAAGCATTGTTAGGGCCTTTGAAAAGCATTTCAAGGCTATTCTACTTGAGACTGGCAAAACCCTTGGGAGGTAGTGAGGCTTGCTGTTACTATGTCCACTTCACAGATTAGTAATAAATTGAGCTGGGACTAGAACCCATTCCTTGGTCCAGACTCAAATTCAAAACTCTTTCCACAATCCTGTGCTGTCTCTTTATAAACTTGGGATTCAGATGAGGGACTGAATTATGTGACTCAAGTTCAAATTGGTTAGCATTTACTGATCTCTTGATACAGAATTTTCTACTTCTTATAAGTACAAGAGGGATTTTTTTTTTAAAAAAAGGATAAGTTCTCTGCCCTTAAGGCATTTAGAATAAAATATAATACATAGGGGGAAAGTCCTAGAACACTTGCTATACAACCAGTAAATGAGCACTGATTGCTAAGATGTAAGCAAGAGGAATTGAGTACTAAGAGAACTGATATTTCATTGATCATTTATGAATTCTCCGCTGTGTCCCTTACTGTACAAGAAAGATGTATGTAATGTCTATAACACACAACACCTGCATTAATTTTATCATTCCAATGCTGAGAATCTTTGGAGAAGTAGTAGTTCTTGTTTAAATAGCCTTCCCTACTAGATTCTCAGCTCCTAAAAGAAGTTGATTGTGATGAAGAAAGACGATGATAGAGAAGGATAAGTTACTCAATAGAATTCATCAGGAAAGCCCAGCTGGTAGCTCAGAGTGGTTGTCCCCATGTATCAAGGTTTCAAGTTTGATATGCAGTCAGGGCACTTACAAGATCAACCAATGAATATATACATAAGTGGAACAACAAATCAATGTTTCTGTCTTCCTTCTGTCTCTCTTAAATTAATAAATAAAAAAGAGTTTTGAATTGAATTCCTTGGTGGAGGAAGGAAAGAAAAGCAAAGCCAGTTGAATCTATGTTTGGAGAAATAGTACTTACCAAACTTCATTAAAAACTATGAACCCTGGCTGGTTTGGCTCAGCAGTTAGAGCGTTGGCCTGAGGTCGAGACAGAGCCAGGTTCAGTTCCCACTAAGGACATGTACCTCAGTTGCAGTTTGTCCCTGGGTCGTGCGGGTGGCAGCCACTCGATGTGTCCCTTTCATGTCGATGTTTTTTCTTTCTCTTTCTCTCTCTTCCTCTCCCTCCTGCTCTGTCTGAACAACAACAAAAAATATGAAATACCCCGTGAATGAGGTTTCCTAGTTCTTCCCGACACTCACAACCCCCTTTCCACCCCATACCCTCCATCCCCCATCTCCCCATCTGGGAGCACTAGATCCTCTGTCTTTCTCATACTATCTAACCGCTGAAAGGAGCAAGGCTGGAAGACAGAGAGCTGGAAGTCGCCAAGGTACTCATGTCAGTGTCCCCAAAAACTATATTTTAAAAGAATTCCATGAAAGGCTATGCCCTTTTTTCCTAGTAACCCAAACCGCGTGAGTTTCCAGGTAAGTTTGTAGTTTAGCCTATTTCTCTTCTCTTGAAATTTAAACTCTTTCTGAGCTCTGAAGATAAAGGTAAGAGGCAGAGGGCTGGCCTTCCAGATAGCAACTAACCCACGAGTAGCCAAAGAACTCAGTCTTGACTGGAAAATGTGGAGAAACTCGCGCCCCCAAGAGGCCTTAACGCTCAGAGCAACAGAACTCCCGGGGCCAGCATCACGTGATGATGCAGCGCGGCGGATAAACTACAACTCCCAGTGCGCCGCGCGGCCCGCCGGCGTTACGCACCTTTCGTTGATTGGTCGCTGGGGATATTTGAAAGGAGGAGCTGGCGCGGAAACGAAGGTTACATTTTGGATTCTTGCGGAGTACTCAGCTTGGCTGGTAAATTTTATACCTGGATAGGTGGGGACCTCTGAGACATTAAGGCCTGGAGGGATTCGTGAGTGTGTGTACGCACCGAGGTGAGTGGGGTCCCCAACGCTAACTTGAGGGAAAGGTGGGAACGGCTCTGCTAGGGAAGGTCGGAGATCTGGGACGCCCTGGTTGGTGAAGAGCTCTGTCGAGGCCTCTGGGGCTTTGAGGTGGTGGGATGGGTAGTGAGGCCAGAGATCGGCCGGGAAGAAGGAAAAGAGGAAGTGTCGATTTATAACGGGAGCCCGGCGTCCTGGCCTGGGCTTTTTTCCGTTTAGATTTCTGATGAGATTCTTTGCCTCCTTCTTCTGTGGCCTTCAGGCCCTTCTCCTGCCCTTCACTTAACTCCATTATGAATCTTCTCCGCCCTCTCTAATCTGTCTCCTTTCCCCTTAGCCCTCCGGAGCCATGAGAAGCTTCAAAGGAGTCAACTTTGGAACTCTGTTAAGCAGCCCGAAGGAGGCTAGAGAGTTGCTTCCTGACTTGAAGGTGTGGATGCTATCTGACTCTAGATACACTGGCTTTCCAAGCTCAGCTGTTTTGTTTTTTGCCTTATTTGAAGAGACAGAGTAGTAGCAACCCCATTTCCTGTTCCTTTCCTTATCTCTTTCCCTTTGTCCTATTCACATCTTCCTCTCCTCCTAGGAGTTCCTCTCCAAACTTCCAGCCGGTTCTCCCAGCTGCAGATTTGATGCGGAGAGGAGACAAACTTGTGATGCCATCCTGAGGGCTTGCAACCAGCAGCTGACTGCCAAGCTGGCTTGCAGTAGGCACCTGGAGAGCCTGCTAGAGTTGGCAGAGCTGGCTTGCAATGGCTACTTGGTGTCCAACCCCCAGGGGCCACCCCTCTACCTGGAACGAATTCTCTTCATCTTTCTACGGAATGTCGCTGCACAGGGAATCCCAGAGGCCACACTCCGACTCGCTCAGCCCCTCCATGCCTGCTTGATGCAGTGTTCTCGCCAAGCTGCTCCCCAAGACTATGAGGCTGTTGCTCGGGGCAGCTTTTCTCTGCTTTGGAAAGGGGCAGAGACACTGACAGAGCCACGAGCTGCATACTCAGCTCGACTGAAGGCCTTGAGCTTTCTAGTACTGCTAGAGGATGAAAGTGTCCCTTGTGAGGTCCCCCACTTTGCTTCTCCAACAGCTTGCCGAGTGGTAGCTGCCCATCAGCTATTTGATGCCAGTGGGCATGGTTTGAGTGAAGCAGATGCTGATTTCCTAGATGACCTGCTCTCTAAGCATGTGATTAGAGTCTTGGTGGGTGAGGAAGGGGACCCGCCTGGTCCTCTTTCTCCCCAGAGTGCCCTCTGTCTCTTAGAGCTCACCCTGGAACACTGCCGTCGCCTCTGCTGGAGCCACCTCCATGCCAAGGCCACCAGGGCTGTGGAGAAGGCCCATGATTACCTAAGGAATACCAGCCTGGCTCCCAGCCTCCAGATATGCCAGCTGGGGGTAAAACTGCTGCAAGACCAGGAGGGAGGGCCCCAGGCAGTGGCCAAGATTCTGACCAAGGCATCAGCTATCCTGAACAGCAATATGGAGGCACCGTCACCCCCACTGCGAGCATTGTATGACAGCTGCCAGTTCCTCCTCTCAGGCCTGGAGCGGGGCACCAAGAGGCGCTGTGGACCTGATGCTATTCTGGGCCTCTTTGCTTTTCTTGGCGGGTACTGCTCCCTCATTCGGCAGCTGCAGGATGGTGTAAGTTAAGGACCTAGAGATAGGGTGGGAATGTGGTTCTGTGGACTCAGTATCAGGCTAGGGTCTTTGGTAAGATCTGGAAGCCCTGACTCCCTCCTTGGTAAGCTGCTCACTGGACTTTGTAGCCTAGTCTATCCTGAGAGGGCAGTGGTCCCTCCTAATGTCCTTCTTCCCATTCCCTGGGCTGTGTCAGCTCTCCAGAACTCTGAACCAGTCTTTACCTTGGAGCTCATGCTTTATCTCTGTCCCTCAAACCAACCTTCCCCTTCCATCCTCAGGTCTGTAGGGACTCCACCAAGCAACAGCAGTCTCTGGTTAAGATGCAATTTCAGGGACTTCATCTCTATACTGTGGTGGTTTATGACTTTGCCCAAGGCTGTCAGGTACTATCTGGGAATCAAAAATCTTGTACACTTCATAGGGTCTGGGGTTGCTCAGCTGTCCTCAATAGAGTTTTGGGGTGGCTATGGCTTTGGGAATGGGGTGGGATGGATGTCACCTTGTACCTATTATGTCTCTTCTCACCCTCAAGCCCTTCTTGTCTCTTCAGGTGGCTGACTTGGCTGACCTGGCCCAGCTAGTGCAAAGTTGCAAATCTATTGTTTTCTGGATGCTGGAGGCCTTACAGAGTCTGTCAGGCCAAGAGCTGACTGATTACCTGACAATGACTGGTTAGTGCCCTGGGCCCAGATACAGGGTTCTTGGGAGGGTCAGTCATCACTCGTTAGGCAGGCAAATAGCACTTGCTGGATGGTTTTGACCACTGAGAGTACTTTATTGTTTAAGGAGGGAATGAAAAAAATGTTTATAAGTATCAGTTGCTTTATATTTAATAGCAGAAGAGAAGTGATAAAACTAACTTATAAAAGACACTAATTTTTTCTCATAGACTTTGAAATTTGATTTGGTATTTGTTTCATGGAAATGTTTGTACCTAATTTGCAATTTTATGACCTTTCTATATATTTAAAATTTAAAGAACATTTACAAGTTAATTTTTTTAAAAACCAGGTGAAACATTCACATGGTTCAAAATCCAAACTGTCCAAAAGGGTATATAGTGAAAAGCTGCTCTCCTACTCTTAATTCTGATTCCCCAGGTCCCCCTCTGCAGAGGCAACTAATATGATCAATTTCTTATATATCCTTCCAGAGATATACTATGTTTTTATTAACTAACATATATATACACTTCTCTCCACCCTTTTAATTGAAATACATTTAGAGAAAAGTATTGAGATTGTAAGTGTAGAGCTTGGTGGATTTTTTTACAAAGTGAACATAAATTGTAACCAACATCTAGGTCAAGTAACAGAGCATAATGACTTAAAATCCTGGCACCCCCTTCTATTCCCTAACCCCTCCAACAGCAACCATTGTTCGACCAGTTTTGCCTATTTTTGCATTTCATAATAAATTTCACTCTCATTTTACAAAAGCATGGCCCTTTGGTTTAAATCATATACATCTAATGAGTTCAGTCACTGGAAGGTTTTGAAGAACTTGTTATGTTCATATTTTCAGTGATTGAACTGCAGCATAGAAATGAAAATATCAGAGAAGTCATAAAAATTATTAGTATGAAAATTCTTCCCATAGAGTATTAAAGACTGACATTTTCTCTCAGCCATCTGTGTTGATAGTCAAGAAACTGCATAAACTAGAATTTAGGAAAATTTTATTCATTCAACAAATATTTATTGAGTATTTACTATGTGTTAAGAACTATTTTGAGTACTTGGATATTTCAGTAAACAAAAAGATTCCTGCCCTCATGGAGCCAAATCCTGGTTGGGGGAGAAAGATAATAAACAGTAGAATGATTGAATTGTCAACATGTTCAAAAGTGATCAGAAGTATGGGAAAGGAAAAGTAGAGCAGGATAAGGTAATTAGGAGTTCAAAGTGGATGAGAGGAGCAAGTTACTATTTAAAACAGGATGGTCAGAGTAAGCCTCATTGAGAGGATGACATGAGCAAAACTTGGAAGATGTGAGGGAGTTGGCTATGTAGACACCTGGGAAAGGACGCCCCTGTCAGAAGAAATGGCCAATGCCAAGGCCTTAGGGTAGGAGAGGGTCTGGTGTAGTCAAGGAATGGCAAGGAGGCTATGTGGCTTCAGTAGAATGAGGGAAGAAGAGGGAGAAAAGGGATTGGCTAGAGGGTTTTTCTAAAATGGTGACCTTTGGAGTGAAATGAAGAGAGATTAGCCTGTGAGAAGAGATGGGACCTGTGTGGAAATGAGGGCTCTGCTTTTGTACAATGAGGGCAGAGGGCCTGGCTGGTATGGAGAGCACGGACTAACTAGGAACAGGAAGGGGGAGTACTGCCCCTTTCTCATTACCTAGCAATTTGTGTGCCTGTATGATCTGGAAACTGCTGAGCTGACCACAAATTAAGCTTCTCTCTACTTGCCTCTTCAACAAGAGAGGGCAGTGGGAACCATTCCTGTGGTAACTGTCTTTTCTCTCTCCTGCAGCCTCTTACACCAGTAACTTGGCCTATAGTTTCTATAGTCACAAGCTTTATGCCGAGGCCTGTGCCATCTCCGAACCCTTCTGTCAGCGCCTGGGCTTGGCAAAGCCAGGCACCTACCCTGAAGTGCCTCCTGAGAAGGTACGAGGACAGGGAGGGAGGTTATGTTGGGGGAAGGAAGGGACTTTAGTAGCATGAAAGGGCCTGGCCAAGGCCCTGCCTTTGAGTAGGGTGTTAGGAGCTATGTGTTGGCACCAGTACCTGGGGCAGTATTTCCCAGACCTCACCTGTACTGTCGTTTAATTAATTTTGCTTTGTTTTTTTTTAGAGAGAGGGAGGAAGGGAGAGAAACATTGATGTGAGACAGAAACATTAATTGGTTGCCTTCCGTACACCAGGGACTGAACCTGTGAACCTCTGGTGTGCGGGACGATGCTCCAACCAACTGAGTCACACCAGCCAGGGCTGCTGCTGCTTATTTTTTTGACTCACTATTTATACTTAGCTTTGTCCCAGGCCGGTGGTTCTCAACCTTGCTGCACAGAAGAATCACTTGAGTGAACTTTTAAAAAATTCTGATGCCTGCCCTAAGCTAACTACATCCAATTTTATCAAAATCTCTGGCGCTAGAGTCCAGGCATCTGGATATTTAAAGTGCTCTCCTGCCTTAGCCAGTTTGGCTCAGCAGTTAGAGCGTCGGCCCAGACCAGGGAGTCCTGGGATCAATTCTAGCCAAGAGCACGTTCCTCGGTTGCAGTTTGTCCCCAGCCTGGTTGGGGCAAGTGGCAACCAGTTGTTGTGTCCTTCTTACATTGATGTTTCTCTCTCTCTTTCTCTTCCTCCCTCCCTCTCCTGCTCTATCTGAAGGTAAATGGAAAAATAGCCTCGGGTGAGGACTAAAATAATCATAATAATAATAATGTGTTCTAAGTGGTCCTTTGGACAGTCAGAGTGAGAACCACTGTCTTAAAGCAAGAGTACCCATGAAACAGGTTGGCTGGATTGGCAGGCAAGGTGGGTTGTAGAGGGCCTTGGGTTTCATCATGAGGGAGGTTGATGAGCCTCTAATGGATTTAAGTGGAGGCATGATAGTAGATTTGCATCTTGGATTTCTCTGGCATCACTGTGATGAATAAATGGAGTGCAAGGACAACACCAGGCACCCAGGCTGCTACGCAGGAAAGGGTGGGTGTCTGAACTGAAGTAGTTTCCCAAGGGATAGAAAGAACTGATGGATGCAAGAAGTCAAGGATTAACCTGGAAATGCTGTGGGGGAGGGAGAAGGAAGAGTCAAGGATGGACTTGCATTTCTGACTCAAGTGACTTATTGAGAGGATTACAGGAGGTGGAGGAGGAGGTTTTCAGGGTGTAGACAATGAATATGTGGGTGGGATGGGTTGAAGCCTCAAGTTGAGAGCACCGAGGGTATTTAGTTCTTAGGTGTCTCCTGCCTTGAGGCAGGGGTGTTGATCAGAGGACCCCACCCTCCCACCCCCACCAAGAGGTACATGTACTTGTGACTGCATGTCCTTTCCCACTATACAGACTCAATGGGTCCCCTCTCCAGTTTGGTCTGTTCCTTTTCTCTGAGCAGTTGCACAGGTGCTTCCGGCTGCATATAGAGAGTTTGAAGAAACTGGGTAAACAGGCCCATGGATGCAAGATGGTGACTTTGTGGCTGGCAGCCCTGCAGCCCTGTGGCCCCAAACACATGGCTGAGCCAGTCACCTTCTGGGTCCGGGTTAAGATGGATGCAGCCAAAGCTGGAGACAAGGAGCTACAGCTGAGGTGAGTTGGCGGGAGGTGGGACAACCACGTTTGCCCCATGGCTAGGGCTGGCTTTTTGTACTCATGGTCATGTTCATCTTTATGTCTGAAAAAGGTACTGATTCCTCCATCATTGTTCACTGAATGTCTACTGTGTGCCAGCCACTGTGCTCAGTACTAGGGAAACAGTGGTGACAGGCAATGTTCTTGCTTTCTCGACTGGAAACACTGAGCTCTCAGCAAGCCAAAGCTGGGACTCCTTGGCATGGGGCAGAGCCTCTGTGCTCATGGGCTCCCCAGGTGCTGAGCCCACCCTCTTTCAGGACTCTGCGAGACAGCCTGAGCGGCTGGGACCCGGAGACCCTGTCTCTTCTGCTCAGAGAGGAGCTGCAGGCCTACAAGGCGGTGCGGGCCGATACAGGGCAGGAACGGTTCAACGTCATCTGTGACCTGCTGGAGCTGAGCTCCGAGGAGACACCAGCTGGGGCCTGGGCTCGAGCCACCCACCTGGTAGAATTAGCTCAGGTGCTCTGCTACCATGACTTTGCCCAGCAGACTGAGTGGTAAGGAGGAGAGGTGGGGAGCCCCCTCTTGCTCCTTGCCCTAGGTCCTCTGACCCTTTGTGGAGCCTGTTTCCCTTTCTCGTGCCTGAGCACCTCCTTCTGTTTGTGGTGATGGGAGCTCATTCAAAGGGTGAAGTCAGCTGTCTGGCAGAAGTTTCTGATTAAGTGCATCCTCTCCCTACAGCTCTGCCCTGGATGCTATCCATGAAGCTCTGCAGCTTCTGGAGTCTGTGAGGCCTGAGGTTCAGGCTGAAGATCAGCTCCTGGATGATAAAGCACAGGCCCTGCTATGGCTCTACATCTGTACCCTGGAGGCCAAAATGCAGGAAGTGTGTGTGGCTGCTGTGGGGCTGAACAGCACTGGGTACAGGAATTGTTCTTCCTGGGCCCCAGTAAGCTAGCACTAGCTCTGTTTTTTATCCTGATCTGTCATCCAGGGTATTGAGCGAGATCGGAGAGCCCAGGCCCCTAGTAACCTGGAGGAATTTGAAGTCAATGACCTGAACTATGAAGATAAACTCCAAGAAGATCGTTTCCTATACAGTAACATTGCCTTCAACCTGGCTGCAGATACTGGTAAGGGCCGTGGACATAGTGTACTGGGATAGTCTCCTCTATGACTTCTTAAGAGCCAAATGGGGACCCCAGGTGTGGGAGAGGCTGGCCCTGTAGGCTGGGAGATGGTTGGGCACAAAGGGCAGAGGGTGTTATGGGAAAGGTGGCATTCTCCCTAAATGGCCCATGCTGAGAGAATGGCTGGTCCCTTTCTTCTGACTTACAGCCCAGTCCAAATGCCTGGACCAAGCCCTGGCCCTGTGGAGGGAAGTGCTTACAAAGGGGCAGGCCCCCACTGTGCGGTGTCTCCAGCAGACAGCAGCCTCACTGCAGATCCTAGCAGCCCTCTATCAGCTGCTGGCAAAGGTAATAGGGCAGGACATTGACCCAAACCAGAAACCCAGTGTCTTCACTTTCTTTGTCCTATGTACCTGCTGAGAAGCCAAGGAACCCAGTGTGGGCTCTATCACCAGCGCCTCCAAATTTAAATCCAAGTTCCATCATTTATTTGTACATAGCCTTACGCAAATTACTTAACCTTCTAAGGCCAAGTTTCCTTATTTCTAAAATGAAGGCAATAGCCCTGGCCAGTGTTTATTAGTGGTTAGAGCATCGGCCCATGCACCAAAGGGTCTCAGGTTCAATTCCCTGTCAAGGGCACGTACCTTGGTTGCAGGTTCAATTCTCACTCAGGTTGCATGCTGGAGGCAACCAATCTATGTTTCTCTCTCCCCTTCCCTCCCCATCTTCTACTCACTAAAAAATCAATGGATGCCCTGGCCAGTTTGGCTCGGCGGTTAGAGCATTGGCCTACCATCCAGAGAGACCCAGGTTCGGTTCCTACTAAGGGCATGTACCTCGGTTGCAGTTTGTCCCCGGCCCTGGTTGGGTCGTGTGGGTGGAAACCACTCAATGTGTCCCTTTCACATCGATGTTTCTCTCTTTCTCACTCCCACTCTATCTGAACAAAATATCGAAAAATGTCCTCGGATGAGGACTAAAAAAAATGAAGGTAGTAATAACTACTCATAGTGTTGTTAGCATTTGATGAGATAATGCATGGGAGATGTTGCACAAAAACAGAATACTCAGATGGAAGCCATAATTATTAATTATTAAATAATTTGAGACCTATGTACTCAGAATAATACATAAGTTCCTGTAGACACAGTTCTACTTTTTTTTTTTAATCCTCACCCGAGGACACTTTTCCATTATTTTGTTCAGATAGAGTGGGAGGGAGAGAGAGGAAGAGAGAGGGAGAAACGTCGACGTGAAAGGGACACATCGAGTGGCTGCCTCCTGAATGACCTAACCAGGGTCGGGGACAAACTGCAACCGAAGTACGTGCCCTTAGTGGGAACCAAACCCGGGTCTCTCTGGACCGCAGGCCGACACTCTAACTGACCAGGGCTTGCTTTTTTTTTTTCTTAGTCCTCACCTGAGGACACTTTTTGCATTCATAGAGTGACAGGGAGAGAGGGAAGAAGAGAGAGAGAAACATCGATTTGAGAGACACATCAACTGGCTGCCACCCACACAACCCCAACCGGGGCCAGGAACAAACTGCAACCAAGGTATGTGCCCTTAGCAGAAACTGAACCCGGGTTTCTCCAGACCACGGGCTAACGCTTTAACTGCTGAGCCAAACTGGCCAGGGCCAATTCTACATTTTTTACATGCAATGTCAGAAGATTTCACAGACTCCCTGAAGCTCTTCCTTGAACTCTACATTAGAAACTTGGGCCCCACATTGGAAACCTCTGAAAAAACATTGGACTTAAAGGTTCTTTGTTACTGTGGGTTATTAGGCTATATTTCTAGCACAGGGAACCAGGGAAGCTACCTCAGCCCTAGATTTGAGTCTTGGCTCTACCAGATACCTATTATGTGAACTTAGACAAGCAACTTAACCTATGTGATTCTTAGTTTCCTCACTTGTTAAACTGGGATTAGAATTGCTATGAAGATAAAATGAGTTGATGCACGTAAACCTCTTGGCACAGTGCCTGGCACATAGTAAGCATTCAGTAAATCCTGGCTATTGATGATGACTGGCATCTGGGCTTTCAAACAGAAGTGGGTAGGATGGTTTGCAGGCTCCCTGGCAGCTCTCATCTCAGGCTCTCTGAGAATGGCTGATTGTTGCTCTGTTTGGGTAACCACATTCCTGCCAGGCCCTGAGGTCAGACCAAGGTCCCAAAGGGCTGGGGAGCAGAGGGTAGAACTGGAGGCTTGAGCAAGAGCCGGGTAAACTTGCTGCTCCTGGCCAACTAGCCCCTGCAGGCTCTGGAGGTCCTCCTGCTTGTACGGATCATCTCCCAGAGACTGGAGGACCACGCGAAGGCAGCTGCCTCTTCCTGCCATGTCACCCAGCTCCTGCTGACACTCGGTTGTCCCAGCTATGCCCAGGTGAGTGCCTAGCCTGCCTAGCCTGGGAGGCTGCAGGGGAGATATGGCTGAGAAGATAGGATACTGACAGGGAACCTTCTCTGCCTTCTACTGCCACATTCAGCTGGAGGCTCATAAAGTATGAAGTGGTTGGGAGGCAGGCACTTTCTCCTCACTGCAGAACCAGTTGTTCATTGAGTCTTAACAGATTCTGCATCAGGAATATGATGCCAGTCCTATTTTTCCCATTCATTTCTGTTGCCCAAGTTGATTCTTTTTCGCTCACTTAGGAATATTACGATGTCTCCTAGCTGGTCTTGCCTCCAGTTTCTTCCTTTTCTACTTTTTTTTTTGGGGGGGGGGTTCAAATTAAGAGAGCTTTATTAGCCGAGCGGCGACTGTCCCATCCTACAGAGGAGAGAGCAGCCCCTTTTCTACTTCTGACTGCCACTACCATGATCTTTTTTAGGCACATATCTGATCTTAATCTCTTCCCTACTTAAAGGATTTCATTAGCTAGTTTCTCCATTGTCTATAGGACACTCACTGTCCAGATCCTTCCGTTTGTATTGACACCTGTATTCTGGTTCACACTTTTTCTTGCCACTCCCTACCATGAACCTTGTGCCGATTTGTCCCATTTACTTTATATTCCTTGCACGTGCCTCTCTCTTTGGTTGTGTTAGTTTCTTCACCATAAATGCACCTTCTCCTCCCCACTTATTTTCAGTCAGTAAACCTGTACTTTCTTTTCAGGGCCTAACTCAATTCTTCCCTCCACCGTAAAGCATTTTATATGTCCTCTTCTTCAAGGATAGAACGAGCCACATTCCCTGAGTCCTCATAGCACTGATGGCATTGTATCATGATTACATCAGATTGCTTGTGCACCTACTACATTTCAAGTTCTTGGTTGGAAGCTCCTGCTTATTCCTTATTCACTTTGTCTTTCTAGCATAGTGGTTAACTGAAAGGTACTCAATGAACATTTTAGTGAGTGAGTGAATAACTCCTATGTAGATTATAATATTTGAAATAATATTTAATTGGACTTTTGGCATTTGCTTGCGAATGCTTTAATCCACTTTAATTTGGCTGCCTTCCTCATCAGTTTGCTTGCACATCCCCTGATTACTCCCCTAGTTACACCTGGAAGAGGCAGAATCAAGTCTGAAGCTTTTGGATCATACCACTGACACATACCTACTCCTTTCCTTGACCTGTGACCTACTGAGAAGTCAGCTTTACTATGCTTACCACAAGGTATTTCTCACTTTCTTATACTCAAAGGTCCTGGGTATTAGAAGGATTTTAGGATTTTCTAAATGTTTGTCTGGCTTCTGAGAATTCCTTGGAGCTAAGAAGAATGTTCTTGACCCTGAGAAGCAATGCTATTTCCTAGCTTTGCCTTCCAAAGAATTGTTCATCTGTGTTTCTCTAATAGAGATACATTCCTTTTCATTTTTTTCCAGCTTCCTAAAGGGTAAGGGGGAAAGTCTCCCTGAATAGAAACTGGGATGACACTGGAGCCTTGGACTAAAATCCAGTGGGTTCCAAAAAAACCTGAGTTTTCTAATAAACTAGCTATGTGACTTTTCCAAATCTTAAGCCCACTCATGTTCTAGTTTTCTTACAGCTTTTATCATTCCTAAAAGCAGGGGATTGGCCCAGATGATCTCCAGAGGTATCTCAAGCTCTGAATTGCCAATCTGAGCTCACTGCTCTCTGGCCCCCTCCCTCTTCCAGGTGACAGAGGGTGCCTCTCTGTTGCTGTCCGTGCTTCAGGATGCTGCCCTTCAAAGGTCATCCAAGGCCTGGTACTTGCTGCGTGTCCAGGCTCTGCAGCTGGTGGCAGTCTACCTTAGCCTCTCATCAGACAGCCTCTCAGCCTCCTTGTGGGAGCAGCTCTGTGCCCAAGGTAAAGAATAGAGTGAGTGGCCCTCCTTGGTTGATGTGTGTGGTTTATACACTGTCATCTCTTCTCAGCCTTTGTCCCCTCTGCTGTCCAACTGTGTGGATGAGCCTACCTAGAAGCTGCACAGAGTAGGCCTTGGATAGCAAATAAGTTTCAGTTCTCCTACTGACTCTAATCGATTGCCTAGTGACTGCCTGGAATACTATACCAACAAGGTTTCTGGAACCCCATGTGGTTTCAGGGAGTCCTGTGTTTGATTAGCCCTGTCTGCCTTAAATCTATAAGGAGAAGAGTAGCAGCACGCTTTGCATTTGTTATCTTACTAGTTGAAGGTGGTGAAAGTTCAGGCCACATCATCTCCCTTCTTATCCCCTCCTCCCTCACCTGCACAGGCTGGCAGACACCTGAGACAGCGCTCATCGACTCCCACAAGCTTCTCCGAAGCATCATCCTCCTGCTCATGGGCAGTGATGTGCTCTCGATTAAAAAAGCAGCAGTGGAAACACCATTTCTGGACTATGGTGAGTTTGAGGAAGAGAACAAGGCCCTGTGGGAATGAACAGGCTAGATGGTGGGGCTGGCAGTTTGTCTGCAGTCGTTCTCAACCTTCCTAATGCCGCGACCCTTTAATATAGTTCCTCATGTTGTGGTGACCCCCAACCATAAAATTATTTTCGTTGCTACTTCATAACGGTAATTTTGCTACTGTTATGTTTTAGGCGACCCCTGTGAAAGGGTCGTTTGACCCCCAAAAGGGTCACGACCTACAGGTTGAGAACTACTGGTCTAGAGGATCCAGGCTATGACTGAGTGATCATGGTCTTGTCTCTCTCCTTTGCTATAGGTGAAAATCTGGTACAAAAATGGCAGGTGCTTACAGAGGTGCTGAGTTGCTCTGAGAAGCTGGTCTCCCACCTGGGCTACCTGGGTAGTGTGAGTGAAGCCAAGGCCTTTTGCTTGGAGGCCCTGAAGCTTACAACGAAGTTACAGATAACACGTCAGTGAGTACAGGGACCAAGAGGATGCCCATTCTGGAACCAGAGTGCCAGCACCCTTGACTATGGGTTCCCAAACTATTCCACAGATTAATAACATGTTGTTTTGAGGGGTTGGTAGAACAATACATTCCATAGCTAAATAAGTGGGAAAATGCTGGATTAATGAAGGTTCGACTTTTTTTTTTTTAATGTTTTTCTTGACTTTTTAGAGAAAGAGAAGAAGGGAGAGATAGAAACATCAGTGTGAGAGAGAAACATCTATCGGTTGCCTCCTGTATGCCCCCTACTAGGGAACTAGCCTGCAACCCAGGAATCAAACCGGGACGTCTCAGTCCATGGGATGATGCTCAATACAATAAGCCACACCAGCTGGGCAGGGTTTGACTTTTTTATTTTCTATAGGACTTCTCATGTTCTCCAGTATGCTAATACACATTATAGATCTCCAAATAGGAGATCTAGTATGCAGTGTTTCCCTAAATCACTGCCCACAGGATCCTTTTCTTGAGGAATACAGTTTGGGAAATCCTGTCCTCACCCACAAGGATGAGTTGATGTGAGAGCAGTTAGAGGGCTTTCCCTAGGGAGCTGGAGGCTGGAAAAGACTGTGATGGTTCTGCCTGGGAAAAGAAGCAGAAATACTCCAGGAAAACAAAGGATTCCACTAACTGGTTGTTATTGCCTCTCCCAACAAGGTGTGCCCTATTCCTGGTGCTGAAGGGAGAGCTGGAGCTGGCACGCAATGACATTGACCTCTGTCAGTCGGACCTGCAGCAAGTTCTGTTCTTACTCGAGTCTTGCACAGGTAAACAACCATGCCCCCACGCCCAGGCGCAATGGTAAGAGTGACACATACACAATATAACAAATCTTTATATGTTTGGTTTCCTTCTAAATCAGAGACTTCTGTCCCAAGGCACAATTCCCTTTACTTCAATCAGACCATTGGTGACTTGTCTTCAGATAACCTGTCCAGGACTAACCCTACCTGGTTTTAGTTTTCAGTGCTGTCTAATAACATTTTGGCTATTTCAATAAAATTTAAAATTCAATTTTTCAGTCATTTACCACATTTCACATATTCAGTAGCCACATGCAGCTAATAGCTATTGTATTGGACAGCACATGTGTAGTGTCCTCAGGAGGCTTAAGCTAATAATAAAATATTTTTCTTATCAACCACTTTTACCTCTAGTAATTCATTTGACCCACATAATACCCTGGAAAGTCAAGTGGAAACATGTATGTATGTATGTGTGTGTGTGTGTGTAGTTTTGGGTCAGAATCATGGGGCTAGTCAGAGGTAGAAGGCAGGATTAAGAGTTGGGCCTCCATGCCCTGGTCAGTTTGGCTCAGCCGTTAGAGCTTTGGCCCGCAGACCAAAGAGTCGTGGGTTCGATTCCAGTCAAGGGCATGTACCTCAGTTGTGGTTCAGCCCCCAGACCCAGGGTCATGCGGTAGGCAACCAATTGATGTGTCTCTCTCATTTATGTTTCTCCCTCTTTCCCTCCTTCCCACACTATCTGAAGATAAATGGAAAAATATCCTTTGGTGAGGAGTTAAAAAAAAAAGAGTTGGGCCTCCTTGCCCAGCTGGTGTGGCTCAGTGGACTGAGTGTTGGCCCATGGACGGAGAGGCCCCAGTTCAATTCCTGGGTTGCGGGCTCAATCCCTGTAGGGGGCATGCAGGAGGTAGCCAATCAACTTTTTTTATTTTTATCCTCACCCGAGGACATTTTTTTTATATATTTTGTTCAGATAGAGTGGGAGGGGGAGAGAGAGAGAGAAACATCGATATGAAAGGGACACATCGAGTGGTTGCCACCCACACGACGAACCAGGGCCGGGGACAAACTGCAACCGAGGTACGTGCTCTTAGTGGGAACTGAACCCGGGTCTCTCCATACCGTAGGCCGACGCTCTAACTGCTGAGCCAAACCGGCCAGGGCTCAATGTTTTTATCTCTCTCCCTTCCTCTCTTTCTCTAAAATATCAATAAAAACATATATTTTTTAAAAAGAGTTGGAGCCCTAGCTCAGCGGTTGACTGTCGGCCTGCAGACCAGAGAGTCCCGGTTCAATTCCCACTAGGGGCATGTACCACAAAAAAATAAATAAATAAAAAAGAGTTGGGCCTCCTGGTGCTGGCCTGCTTTTTTGATCCACGCAGTCTTCTGAGCTGCAAATAATGGGGGCTTTGTGGGCTGTGTTGGTCCATTGTTGGAAGGAAAAAATATAGGGATTTTATTTAAAAATTAAGCCATACTAATATTTAGCACATTAGTACAGTAATATATGAGTAATTATTAAGTAATTAACATATATATTAGGAAGTTGCTAGGAGTAGCTCAAGAAGCACTTGGCATCATTTCTCCTAATTTTGTAATTCTTGTTCTGCCCTCTCCTCAGAGTTTTGTGGACCAGCCCAGCACCCAGACACTGTGAAGAAAATCCGCTTGCAGAAGGGGAAGCAGAAGGCCCAGGCCCCCTATCCTCTAGAGCTCCCAGAGGAGGAGCTCTTCCTAAAAGGCCCTGTTTTGGAGCTGGTGGCCACTGTGACCAAGGAACCTGGCCCCATAGCACCTTCTACTAACTCCTCCCCAGTCTTGAAAATGAAGCCCCAACCCAGCCCCGGTTTCCTGACCCATTTGCCAACCTGTGACTGCTCACTTTGTGCTAGCCCTGTCCTCTCGGCAGTCTGTCTACGCTGGGCGTTGGTCACAGCCGGGGTGAGACTGGCCACAGGCCATCAGGCACATGGTCTGAATCTCCTGCAGGTTGTGCTGAAAGGTTGCCCTGCAGCCACTGAGCGTCTCGCCCAAGCTCTACAAGCTTCCCTGAATCACAAAGTACCTCCCCACCCCATCTTGAGCCTCTTCGATGAGATCTTGGCTCAGGCATACACACAGCTGGCACAGGAGGGGCTGAGCCGGCCATCAAACAGCCTAGAAAAGGTCCTGGAGTCAGGGCTGAAGTTTGTGGCAGTGCGGATACCCCACCTGGAGCCCTGGCGAGCCAGCCTGCTCTTGATTCAGGCCCTTGCAAAGCTGGCTGGCTTCAGCTCTTGCACTACCCAACTTTTTGCAAGCTCCTGGGGCTGGCAGCCACCATCAGTAAAGATCACCCCAGGCTCAGAGCCCTCTAAACTTCGGAACCAAAAACATTCTAGACAAAGGCGCCAGCAGGCAGTCTCTGCTACCCTGCCCTTCCATAATATCTCTCGGCAAGGTCTGGAAGGTGGAGGACCACCATGTACACCTAAGCCCCCTGGCCGGCTTAGGCAGGCTGGCCCTCGTGTCCCTTTCACCGTGTTTGAGGAAGTAGTTCCTACAAAGAGCAAACCTGAGGTTCCCAAGGCCCCCAAGGTACAGCAGAGGGTCCAGACACGCCTGAAGGTGAGATGGGACTGTGGTGTGTTGGTGTTGAGGGGGATGGTCCTGGAGAAGAATTCTGTAGAGCAAGTGTCTATGGAATAGCTTCTCAGGGCCTTGTGGGACCTTGAGCTCTCCTAGTATCTACAGGTTCCCTACATCTTCCACGGGAAGAACTAGTTCCAAGTCTCTTTGTTTTGGACAGAAGGCACTTTCCTTAACTTGAGGATTCCTTTCCCTTTCATCTTTCCGCCTTATTTTTTAGTCCCCCTTCTCTTCCCTCCTTCCACACCCAGGAGTTACTGCCTCTGATTGAGTGTGGCAGTATGTGAGAGGTTAATTCTTAAATCTTCCCCAGTGGCCCCTTTGTTAGTGCCTCCACAGCGCCACCTGCTGTCAGATAATGTCTTGTCACTAAAGGCCCCTTGGCCCTTCTCCCTTTCCCATCCATCCCAGGTGAACTTCAGTGATGACAGTGACTTGGAGGACCCAGTTGAGGCACGGCTTGCAGAGGAGCCCAAGAGGCGAGGCACTGCTTCTCGGGGGCGAGGCCGGGGCCAGGCTAGGAAGGGCTCAAGCTTGAAGACTGATGTGGCTGCCCTAGGTAGTGCCCCTGGACAGTCTGGCCTCAGTGTCAGGAGCCGGAGGGCTAAGAAGGTGGCATCAGGATATTGTGAGGAGCTGGGCCCTGAGATCATGAGGACCATCCCTGAGGAGGAACTTACTGACAACCAGATGGAAATGAGCTTTGAGATCTTCAGGGGCTCTGATGGGGAAGACTCAGCCTCAGGTATGATGGCAGGGGTGGGAGATAGAGGTGCATATGCTTTGGAGAGGCTGCCCCAGGACCAAAGCACAAGAAATAACTGGTGCCAAAGACAGTTCTTTTGTTGGCTCTGGACTGGATCCTAGAAGGGAAGGGGGAGGGGGGTGGCAGGAGTAGAAAGCTCCATAGAAAAGTCCTATTCTCTCCCCAGATGGGAAGATACCAGCTCCAGGGCCTGACACAGCCATAGGAGAATGTGAGGTGTTGAGACGGGATTCTAGCAAAGAGGAGCTGCCCATCCCATGCCCAAACAAGAAGAAAGACAAGGATCTCGGTCCTCAGCTCCGATGCCCCTCAGCCCCTATAGCTGTTGGTAAGGTCTGGTCCCTTGGAGAGGGCTAAGCCTCTAGGTCTCTTGTTCCCAAAGCTTTTTCAGTCTGTCCTTGATTCTGGTTTTGGATCCCCACCTGGATCTTTGAACCTGGGTTTGAATCCCAGCACTCTCTACTACCTGTGTGCCAGTCATTCAGCCTCTCTGAGTTTCTTTTTACTTAATTGTCAAGTGGGTTTGGGGAGGGCAGGTGAGTTGATGCATGTAGGTTAAGTAGCATCCTGCTTGGCACATTGCTCTTCGTAAATGGTAACTGCTACTTTCTAAGTGGGAGGTGAGATAGGGACTCCTTCTTGTCAAGTTCCTATCAGTTAGGAAGTAGGGGACTCATCTACAGCAAGTGTCTTGACCTTCCTCTAGGTGTCTCTATCCTGGATTCCATCTGTGACTCACTGAGTGTTGCTTTCCGTGGAGTCAGTCACTGCCCTCCTAGTGGGCTGTACGCTTACCTCTGTCGCATCCTGGCGTTGTGCCTGGGCCACCGGGATCCCTATGCCACTGCCTACCTTGTCACCGAGTCTGTCTCTGTCACCTGTCGCCACCAGCTGCTCACCCACCTTCACAGGCAGCTCAGGTGAGTGTCTACCATCCCTGAGACTTGTGCTAGGGCAGACTGGAGGGCACATGCCTAGGTGACTCTGAAGGAGGAAGAACTCACCCCTACTTGTGTTGCTTGCAGCAAGGCCCAGAAGCACCGGTCACTTGAAATAGCAGACCAGCTACAAGGGCTGAGCCTCCGGGAGAGGCCTGGAGATTTCCCTCTCGCCCGCATCCAGCACCTCTTTACCTTCAGGATGTTGGGATCTGGCCATTTCCCCCAGCCTGAGAAGGAGCGTTTCCAAGAGTGCCTGGCTCTGATCCCCAGTGGTATGGTAGCAGGCTTCGGCTGGCTCTCCTGTCTTTTTCATCTTACTGAAGAGTTGGGTGAAGGTGTTTAAGGCATTAATTAGCTCTCATAGATTTGTGATCCTTGTGGAAGGACATATCATACCTTTTAATTGATTAGTCATTTTGTTACCCTCATTAAACAGTCTTTTTTTTTTTTTTTTAACCTCAACTTTGAGTTACCAGAAAATTCAATGTCTTTATTCAGGGTTAAGTTCAGATGTCCACAGGCTCCCTACACTAACATGAAACATGTTAATAGATTATTTGAGTGCCTCTTTCTGTGCCCTTTGTTCATTTCTGTATGGGACACAAAGAAGTACAAGACATGATCTCTGTTCCCAGAGAGCTGTTAGGGCAAGTGAGAGCACCTTGAACTCCAGTGACCAGGGAAAACTTAGAGTTCTCTTGAGTGCTAGATAGGGATTGAGTGCAGAAGACTAGACATTGAGAGGAATTCCTTTTAACAGCTGGAATGATTCTGGATATGTTCTGTGTGTCAGGCATAACTGTGTGTGTGTTGGCCCTGGCCACCCTCCAGCCCGGAACAGTAGGCAACACCCTCCTGCTGACCCGACTGGAAAAAGACAATCCCCCAGTCACTGTGCAGATCCCCACTGCTCAGAGCAAGGTATGTTTCCTGGGCCAGGGAGCAAAGTTGGGCTGGGTTAGGCTTCTGGTCAAACTGTTTACATTCTGTGGCTGGGGGATACAGAGATGGCGATCACGTGGACTCAAGAAATCTCACGACCCCATCTCCCAAAGCTTTCTCTGAGCTCGGCCCTGAAAGAGTTTGATGCCATCCAGAAGGAACAGAAAGAGAACAGCAGCTGTACTGACAAGCGAGAATGGTGGACAGGACGGCTAGAACTGGACCATAGGATGGAGGTGTGTGCTCCCAACATGGGGTGGGGTCAGACCTGCCCTAGGAATGACATGAAGGTCCCAGTGTCTTCTCTCTCAGGGGTGCCCAGTCATTGCTAAGCTACCTCAAATCCTTTCTGAAATTGTAGGCCTAAATTAAAAAGTATGTCATTTGGGAAGGACTTTAAACAAGAGCTCCAAACTTGAAGGGGTTATGGCAATGGAATGTTTAAAGGTACATACAAGAGCCCAGCTGGTGTGGCTCAGCAGTTGAGCGTTGACCCATACACCAAGAGGTCACTGGTATGATTCCTGGTCAGGGCACATGCCTAGGTGGTGGGCTCAGTCCCCAGTGGGGGGCATGCAGGAATCTGCCAGTCGATGTTCTCTTTCATCGATGTTTCTATCTCTCCCTCTCCCTTCCTCTCTCTATAAATCAATAAAGGGGGGTGGGGAGTAAAGGTACATACAAGAAAAAGGACTTAAGCCCACATGTCAGCTTCCTGGCTTTAGCTTCACCGATCACCTGTTTATAGTGATCAAAACATAGTGATAGCCCTGGCCAGTTTTGCTCAGTGGTTAGCACATCGCCTGCGGACCAGAGAGTCCCAGGTTCGATTCCTGCTAAGGGCACATACCTCGGTTGCGATCGTCTCTGGCCCCAGATGGGGTCCTGTGAGTGGCAGCCAGTCAATGTCTCTCACATCGATGTTCCTCTCTCTCTCTCTTCCTCCCTCTTTCCCTCCTGCTCTATCTGAAGATAAGTGCAAAAATGTTCTCAGGTGAGGATTAAAAAAAAACAAAACATAGTGATATACTTGGCTGGTGTGGCTCAGTGGTTGAGCGTCAACCCATGCACCAAGAGGTCGCCAGTTCGATTCCCGGTCAAGGCACATGCCCAGGTTGTGTGCCCGGTCCCCAGTGTGGGGCATGCAGGAGGCAGCCAGTCAGTGTTTTCTCTCACTGGTGTTTCTATCTCTCTCTCCCTCTCCCTTCCTCTCTCTCTAAAATCAATAAAGAAAAAAATTACTTAAAAAAACAACACAGTGATATGTAACAGGTTATCTTATCTATACACCTCCCCTCTCCCAGAATCTCAGCAAATGAAAAATGTTTCTGCTTCTTGCCTTTTGTGACTGGCAGAAAGATATGTAAAACAAATACACACATTGGAAAACCCATTTCCTCATCTCCAAAATCTCATTGCCTGTGGGGAAAGAAATTTAGCTTCATCTCTGACTAAAGGTTCTATTCTTCCACATTCAGGTTCTCATCACTTCCCTAGAGACATATGTGCTGGGCTGCTGGAGGGGGCTGTTGCTGCCATTTAGTGAGGACCCAGGCCCTGCCCAGGAGGCCTCACACCTACAAGAGTTGCTGCAGGAATGTGGCTGGAAATATCCGGACCCCACTCTGCTGAAAGTGAGTTCAGAAATCAGGGAAGAGGAGGAAGCTAGATTTAATTCCTTCCCACCTGCCACTGTGAGTGGAGATGGAAGCTATCGCACTCCTGACCACTGTCCCCCTACAGATCATGCTCAGTGCTGCCAATACCCTCACCCCTCAAGACATTCAGTCCCTAGCCTGTGGACTGTGCCCTACCCAGCCAGAGCGAGCCCAACAACTCCTGAGTGAAGCAGTAAGACGTCTACAGGGGAAGACAGTACCAAGCAATAGGCACCTTGTTTTAGTGCTGGACAAGGTAAGGAGCTAAGGGCCGGAGAGGCACTGTCTGGCAGGCAGTGGACACCAACTCACTCCCACACCCCTTCTGACTCTGCATATACCTGGCTAGGGACCGTAACCTTCAGTGCTTTTTGCCAGGACCTGCAGAAGCTGCCATGGGAGAGCATGCCCAGTCTCCGGGCACTGCCGGTCACTCGGCTGCCCTCCTTCCGTTTCCTACTCAGCTACGCCATCATCAAAGAGGTAGGATTCAGCAAGTGCAGACTGGGGCTGGTGGCAATTGGAAAGATAAGAGGGTCTTAGGAATGGATCAGTCATGGAATGGGGCTTGGAGTTTGATGGAGCCAGACCAGGATCCCAATCACCAGTGTTTCTTCCTCAGTCTGGGGTTTCGCCAGTGCTGAGCCAAGGGGTGGATCCACACAGTACCTTCTACGTTCTGAACCCTCACAATAACCTGTCAAGCACAGAGGAGCAATTTCGAGCCAATTTTAGCAGGTCAGGAGGATAAGAGTAAGAAATGGGCCCTGGCCGGTTTGGCTCAGCGGTTAGAGCGTCTGGCCTGCGGTCCTGAGAGACCCGGGTTCGGTTCCTGCTAAGGGCGCGTACCTCGGTTGCAGTTTGTCCCCGGCCCTGGTCGGTTGTGCGGGTGGCAGCCACTCGATGTGTTACTTTCACGTCGATGTTTCTCTTTCTTTCTCTCTCCCTCCCACTCTACCTGAACAAAAAAAAAAAGAAAAATGTCCTCAGGTGAGGATAAAAAAAAAAAAGAAATGGGGTGGGGTGGGGAAGGGTAGCAACAACATATAGGGGCAACATGTCCTTATCTCCAGAATCAGATGTTGCAGGCCACCTTCTCCCTAGTATACTATCACTCTGCCAGTTTGCACATGACCTTTATTCTTACTCCTACTTTTTCTATGCAGTGAATCTGGCTGGAAAGGAGTGATTGGGGAGGTGCCGAGCCCGGAACAGGTGCAGGAGGCCCTGACAGACCATGATTTATATATGTGAGTGCTTAGGACGGGGAGGTGGGGAGAGGAGCGGTCCCAGAGAAGGATATTGCTTTGGGGTTTCAACGCCCTTGACTGACTCTGGACACCTCTGGAGACATGGCAGAGGCCTAGTATGGCTAGGTCAAACTCATCTCTCCTGCTTTAGCTACGCAGGACATGGGGCTGGTGCCCGCTTCCTGGATGGGCAGGCTGTCCTGCGGCTGAGTTGCCGGGCAGTGGCACTGCTGTTTGGCTGCAGCAGTGCAGCCCTGGCTGTGCATGGAAACCTGGAGGGGGCTGGCATCGTCCTCAAGTATATCATGGCTGGCTGGTGAGTCTCAAGGGGCAAGCCCAGGTTTTTTCCTAGGTCTGAAGTGTAAGTCCTTCCTCTTTTGTGCACCACCTTCCTCCCATCCTAGTTCCCTGGGGCAATTAACCCTTTGCCCTCTCCTCTTCCTAGAACTGTGGGCCAAGGGACTTCCTCGTTAGCTCAATCCTCTCTACTACTCAGCCACCACCATCATACAGTTGTGTTTTCCTGTGTATTCTGTTTGAGTCCTTTGTATTTCTTCCCTTTTTTTTTTCCCAGTCCCCTGTTTCTGGGTAACCTCTGGGATGTGACTGACCGCGACATTGACCGCTACACAGAGGCTCTGCTGCAGGGCTGGCTTGGAGCAGGGCCAGGAGCCCCTCTTCTCTACTATGTCAACCAGGCTCGCCAGGCTCCCCGACTCAAGTATCTTATTGGAGCTGCACCTGTAGCCTATGGCTTGCCTGTTTCCCTGCGGTGACCCCTTGGAGCTGTCCTGTCGATGATAGAAGCCATGTGACTGTTCTACCTCCCATACTTAGATTTAACCCTCAGGATAAATATTTTTAAGTGATTTTCCCCAGTGTTTTATATGAAACATTTCCTTTTAACTTAACCTTAATATAATAAAGATGTATGACTTAAACCCAATTTTGTGTAGTTCATCAGAAAACGTGAAGACAAGACTATTGCCTCCCCCCTCCCACTATGTAGTACTACTGTAAACAGAACAGGTTGCAGGAGTTCAAGTCTGAGAGCATTGGGAAGAAAAGCAAAACCACAGGACAAAGCTGGGCCTGCCTGGCTTGGCCTCAGCAGACAAAGATTTTCAAAGAGAAGGGCATCAAGATGCCCTAAGTGGAGACAGAGTTGTCAAGGAAGGATAGAGACAGACCCATTGAGAGTGTCTTGACCACCAGAAACCTTCATGTCTGTCCTGTCTCTCTGTCCTCGGGTATCCTGGGAGTGACACCAGCTTTAATGCCTCAGTTCCCCTACCCCCTCCTAAGTGAATATTAAAGGCTGCAGTTTTCTCCCCACATACAGCTGTTAAACTTATCAGTGCACTTTGGCAGCAGATTCTGTGGGGTTCTGCTGCTTGTGTATGGTTTTTCTCTCCTCAGTTAGATTGCTCATTTCCTCGGAAGCACGTCTTACACGTTCATGTATCCCTCACATCTAGCACATGGTATAACGTATGTATTAATAAACCATGTGCTGAACTTGTTGGTTGATAACATGCCTCCTCTTTACCTTCCTCACCACTGCCATTGCTTCATCTGCCCAAAGTACCACTTTCCCAACGCTACTCCCCCTGACCAAATAACTTCACAGGCTTCCATGCCTATGGGTCACTAAGTTTATACCACACGCTGGTAGTAGCATACATTGCAATAAAACTTATGGCCTGAGAACATAAGTTTTTTTTTTTGATTCCTCACCTGAGGATCCTTTTCTATTTATCATTAGATAGAGTGGGAAGGAAGGAGCGAGAGACAGAAACATCGATGTGACAGAGCCACATCGACTGGCTGCCTCCCGCACCACCCTACCAGGGCCAGGCAACCGAGGTACATGCCCTGACTGGAACCGAACCCGCGACTCATTGGTCCGCCGGTGGAAGCTCTAACTGCTGAGCCAAACCGGCCAGAGCAGTACTTAAGATTTTTAAGCCCTTGAAGTGGGGCTCCCGTTTGCTATCAAACTTAACTACGCTAGATTTGGCACGCTTTATGAGAAGCACGAGCCGCTACCTTTAATTGAAGGCGAGCCTCTTTGAGACGTCCCTCCGGAGACCGAGGATCATAGAGATGTCTGATGCAGCGAGGCCTTCTAGCGCTGCCATAGAGATGCGCAGAAGACGGCTAGAGCGTTGCTCACCGAGCTGTCTTTCCCTTTCTTAGTCCTCCTTCCCAACATGGCGCAGTCGGTTAACATCACCGAGCTGAATCTTCCGCAGCTGGAAATGCTCAAGAACCAGCTGGACCAGGTGGGGACGGGCCCCAGAGACACTCCTTTGCGCCTCACATCCCTGCTGCCCACGCGTACGCCCTCGTCGCCCTCCCCCCATTCTTCCCCACTTTGGGAGGCTTCCCCTCCCCTGCGAAACCCCTGCCCCGTCACCGGCGGTACTCCCCACTCCCTCCAGCCCCACACTCTTTTCCGAATTCTGTAGGAAGTGGAGTTCTTGTCCACGTCCATTACCCAACTCAAGATGGTACAAACCAAGTATGTGGAGGCCAAGGACTGTCTGAACGTGCTGAACAAGAGCAATGAGGGTATGGGGTGAGCGCGCGAAGGCAGCCTGGGGGATGTGGAGAGCTGGCTTCTCATCCCGCCTCCCAAACCAGTCTTCCTTACCTGAGACGGGAAAACAATCCATTACATATAACGTACCTCGTTGTGAGCCTTTTGCATGTTGCCTACCTAGAATTGGAATGTAAAGGACATTGCTCCTCTTGTCCCTGTTTCTGTTCTTTTCATACTATCCGCGCTGTGCCCTTTAACGTCTTCACGTTGGAGCTGCCAATCTTCCCCAGATGTTTGTCTTAATTGCTTTCACAGGGAAAGAATTACTTGTCCCACTGACGAGTTCTGTATCCTTTTCACAGGAACTATCCAGCCCTCTATTTTTCTCCATCCCTCCTCCCCCACAAAAAGGATGGGGGTAGTTTTGATGACTCCAAAGTGCCTCCATGATTCTGAGAGCTCTTACTATACACACCACCTAGCTCTCCTTCCTGTATCCTGGGGCCAACATCTAGCTATTGCCTTGTGAGCACCAAAGAATATATATAATTGAGGTGTGATTATTTCTCTTTTTTGTTTGAGAATATGATCTAATATAAAAATAAAACTTTTGGTTTGCACTTTTACTAATATTATAAGCAGTAGAATGGGATATAGAAACAAAGGGTTGGTTCTGTTTATTAATTCTCAATTTCTGCTTAATTGTGGCTCTTATTCCTGAACTATTGTTACTAAGAAACCTGTATTGTGCCTACCTGTTGAGTATTTTACTTGAATGATTGTTGTGACAATAGGGCACCTGTAAACTAGTCTGAGAAATGACAGGCTGAAAGAGGAATGCAGAAATAGCAGTGTAGTATAGGGACAGGCTAAATAATGAACATTAAATCCATCAGGAATTAGTTCATGGTTGGGATGTTGAGGGGAAGTGAGGCTGACTTCTCACTTTTACTACTTTACAGCAGTTGGAAAATATTTTGTCTAGTCTTTCTGGAGGGGCTAACTGCTTAGAGGGCGGGACATGGGTTTAGGGCAAGAGAGTTTTTTAGTGTTTGTCTGTCATTTTCTCCATAAGGAACTAATTTCTCTGTCTCTCCACATTTGGAGTTTACAGGCATAATTCTAAGGTCTCCAGTTATTCAGTCCCTGTACCTTATAGCTTTTTAGAAAAGAGAGTCTTACACTGACAAAGAATCATGGCTCATGCTGGGCTAGTTTTCCCTTAATCCTTGCTTCTCAGATGTATGTCCCTGGGAAGCTACATGATGTGGAACATGTGCTCATCGATGTGGGAACTGGCTACTATGTAGAGAAGGTGAGTGGAAAGAACCGTGTAGATGCCCCTATGAGCAAGGAAAGGAAGTTTAGAGGAAGATTTAGAGACAGCCTAGGGTCTCCTCTTAGCCCTTCATTCACCTCTGACCTTTTAGACAGCTGAGGACGCCAAGGACTTCTTTAAAAGGAAAATAGACTTTCTCACCAAGCAAATGGAGAAAATCCAGCCAGCCCTGCAGGAGAAGCATGCCATGAAACAGGGTAAGCGTGGCCTGGGGCACCTCTTCACCCTTTCTAACTCTGATAAAGAACATGGATTACACTGTGATTTTCTCTTTTGTGTCTTGATATGTTATTCTCTAGATTCTGTGTATTACATACCCACTATTTATAGATTCTTGGTTTGGGTGCTTGAGAAATTTATAAGAAGGAAATCATGTCTGTGTTCTTAATGGGAATGGAATGGGGGAAAAGATACATGTAAATGAACACACAGCAAAGAAATATAGCCCTAACTAAGTACTAGCAATTGCAACCCTGCCTACACATTAGAATCACCAAGGGAGTTTGAAAAGAAAGCCTGGCCCATTCCAAACTAACTAAATCAAGCTGGGTAATGGTGGAGTGTGAGGGTAAGCAGGGATTCCAGGATTCAGTATTTTTTTTTAATGCCCTAGGTGATTCTATAACACAGTCAAATTTGAGAACCACTATTCTAAAGACAAAAATCTTTTCCACATTATAATTTTTGGTTATGTCTGACTCATTTAATACTGTATTTTGTTCATTTTTATATCCCAGTGGTTATCATATTTACTGATACATAGTAGATTCTAAATTTATGTTAGTGTATGACCCCACACAGTGGATCACTGTGTTAAAAGTTTTATGGCTGGTTTGGCTCAGCTGTTAAGAGTCAGCCGTGGGCCCTGGCTGGTTTGGCTCAGCGGTTGGAGCATCGGCCTGGGGTCCAGAGAGACCCGGGTTCAGTTCCCAATAAGGGCATGTACCTCGGTTGCAGTTTGTCCCCGGCCCTGGTTGGGTCATGCAGGAGGCAGGCAGCCACTCAATGTGTCCCTTTCACGTCGATGTTTCTCTCCCTCTCTCTTCTTCTCTCTCCTTCCCACTCTATCTGAACAAAAAATGGAAAAATGTCCTTGGGTGAGGATAAAAAAAAAAAGAAAAGAAAAATCAGCCGTGGACCGAAGGGTCTCGGGTTCGATTCCTGGTCTAAGGCGTGTACCTGGGTTATAGGCTCCATCCCCAGCCCTGGTCAGGATCCTGTTGGAGGCAACCAATTGATGTGTCACATCAGTGTTTCTCTCTCTCTCCCTCCCTCCTGGCCAGTCTCTAAAAATCATCGGAGCCCTGGCCAGTATGGCTTAGCGGTAAGAGTGTCACCTGAGGAACAAAGAGTCTTGGGTTCGATTCCTGCCCAGGGCCCATACCTCTGTTGCGGTTCACCCTGGCCCCGTTTGCAGTTGTGCTGGTGGCAACCAATCCATGTGTCTCTCTCGCGTTGATGTTTCTCGCTTTCTTCCTCCCTCTCTCCCTCCAGCTCTATCTGAAGATTAATGTAAAAAATATATATATCCTTGGGTGAGGATTTAAATAAATAATATAAATCAATGGAGAAATATCCTTGGGTGAGGATTAACAAGAAAAGTTTTATTAACTGGAGTTGGTTGTCCACCAGTCCTTACACTTCCCTGTCACTTTCCCTTAACTCTAGGTTCTTCCCTTTAGCTCCTGACCAGGGTCTTTTTTCCTCCCCAGCTGTCATGGAGATGATGAGCCAGAAGATTCAGCAGCTCACAGCCCTGGGAGCAACTCAGGCTGCCAAGGCCTGATACCTTGTTTCAGAAGTCGGTGCAGAGGGACCCTGCTTCAGGGGTCTGGGACTTTGTGGTGGGGAAGAGAAGGGTTTTGTGTTTAATGCCAATAAATGTACCAGCTGGGCAGAATGTTGGTCTTTTCTTATATTAAGTAAGGGACTGGTAAAGAGATGGGAGGGCGGTGGTCGAGGGAGTATGCCGCTCCCCAGAGTCTGATGCAGTGCTTATCTTGGAGGCTCTGTCCGAACCCCTGGAGGAGCGGGGAGAATGCCTTTGCAGCATAGCAGGCCCGCTCTGCCAGGCCGTTGCTGCCGTGGGAAAGGCCGACAAGCGGAAGTGAAGCTGAACAAGCACTTCCTTTTCCGGCTCGGCGCCCCAGTCTTCGCACAGAAGCTGCATGGGCCGCCGCTTCCTGCGCGGACTCCTACCTCTGCTGTTGTGGCCTTCACCCTTCGGTGTCCGGCATTGCAGGCACAGCCTGGAGTCCGTCCAGCCCGCCAAACGACCCCGCAGCAGCCCCATGGCACCGCCCCGAATCGGGACGCACAACGGCACCTTCCACTGCGATGAAGCCCTGGCGTGCGCATTGCTACGCCTCCTGCCGCAGTACCGGGTACGGTCCGCTTGGGGCTATCCGAGTGTCCTAACCCGGTCCCTGTGGTACCTCGGACGGCCGGAGCACCCTTCCTACGTTCCCTGGCTCCCCCAGAAACCCAACATTAACCCCCTACCGCGCGACTTCTGGCAGCCCCCTCACCTCCGGTGTCCCCCTGCAGGATGCAGAGATTGTGCGAACCCGGGACCCCGAAAAATTAGCCACTTGTGACATCGTGGTAGACGTGGGTGGCGAATATGACCCTCAGAGACACCGATATGACCATCATCAGAGGTGGGTTTCCAGGTACCTTTTTTTCAACTTGATTCTGTGCTCGAGTTCAGCCATCCATTGCAGTGGTCTGTATCAGCAAAGGGACTGCCCATCCTTGAAAGCAAACTCTTGGGTCCAGTGGGACTAAAGCCTCTCATCCTTCTAGCTCTTCACCTGCTCTCCACCCATCTACCTGCCTTGGACCTCCCTGAGCCTTCTAACCTGCCCAGACCTCCCTTGGCTCCCAGTCAGTCCTCAGCCCCCTCCCAGATCACCTCCTTTGGCTTAGACTTTTCTCCCACCAGCACTGTTGTCACTTCAATTAATACTCCAGCTGGGATTAATCCATTCATACTGTTGGGACCATATGATTTTGGTGGTTGGTGAAAATTCAAATATATGTGGTCTTCTACTTTATTTATACTCTCCCCTTGCGAAATGTCTTTTCCAAGGGTAGTCCATTATCCACAGTACCATTCCAATCCTTTCCCCTCTCCTCAAGCCCCTACCTCATTGGATTTCCTTAGTGAGTGACCCTACCTCTTACTTTTCAAAGGAAATTGAGCTTTTCCTACATGCACATTCTGCTTCCCACTCTTAAATATCCTCAGCTCCCTCCCTCCTTCTGTTTGCCCACTTTCCAATCTATTACTTTCTCCTATTGGATTTCCCACCAGTGTTTCTACTTCTTGCCAATAGCTTACAACTCTACTTAGGCATCTCTCATCTTGAAAACAAATCCTCCCTCTTGTACACCTCACTGAGTGATTGTCTCTGAGGGATTATGAATATATTTTAAGTCTCTTTAAGTATTTTTCTCCTTCCCTCTTTTTTAAGTGTACATTACATATTCATAAGTGATGTTGAGAGGGAATCCTCCCAGTAATTACATCCTAATCTCTCACTGTCACTCTCAACCACCCTTCAAAAGAAGAGCTGACCCTGGTCCCAATCCCTTTCAATTCATTTCATTCATTCATTCATTCATTCATTAACTCATTCATTTGCCTATTTCTCTCCCAGTCTCTCCCCACTGGAAATGCTCATGAAAAGGGCACCAGTCACTTCAACACTAAACTCAGTTTGCTGACTGAGAATCTCACCTTAACCCACCTCTTTATGGCACATATTATTGACTACTTCCTTTTTTATAATGATTTGACATAATTTTTTTTTAATTGTTGTACTTGACACACTAAAGAATGTATTTAGCCCTGGCCGGTTTGGCTCAGCAGTTAGAGGTGGACCAAGAGGTCAAGGGTTCAAATTCCAGTCAAGGGCATGTCCCTGGGTTTCAGGTTCAATCCCTGGCCCTAGTTGGGGTTGTGCTGGAGGCAACCAGTCGTCAATGTGTCTCTCTCACATTGATATTTCTCTCTCTTTCGCTCTATCTGAAAATCAGTGGGAAAAATATCTTCAGGTGAGGATTGAGAAAAAAGAATGTACTTAACATTTCTGGAAATATAAAACATAAAATGAACACCCATGAACTAATATCCCAACTTAAAAACTTGATAATATCCCTATCCCATGTCCCAACCAGAAGTAAATGATAGCCCAAATTTTGTGTTGGTCATACCCTTGTGTATATTTAGCACATATGTCTGTTTCCATCAACTATTTATTTCGTTTTGCTGCCTTTTTTTTAATGTTTTTATCGATTTTAAAGAAGGGGGAGAGAGAGAGAGCAACATTGATCGGCTGCTTCCTGCACGCCCCCCTACTGGGGATTAAGCTGGAAACTCAGACATGCACCCAGACCAGGAATTGAACAGGCAACCTCTTGGTACATGGGTCAGTGTTCAACCACTGAGCCACACTGGCTGGACTAGTTTTGCTTCTTTTTGAACCTCATCTAGGGGATTATTATTATTAGTCTTTATACCTATGTATATTTTATAAAATATGTTTGTATTTTCCCTGGCCGGTTTGGCTCAGCGGTTAGAGCGTCAGCCTGCGGTCTAGAGAGATCCGGGTTCAGTTCCCGCTAAGGGCACGTACCTCGGTTGCAGTTTGTCCCCGGCCCTGGTTGGGTCGTGCGTGTGGCAGCCACTCCCTGTGTCCCTTTCACGTTGATGTTTTTTTCTCTCTCTCCCTCCCACTCTATCTGAACAAAATAGAGAAAAATGTCCTCATTTAAAAAAAAAAAAGTTTAGCCCTGGCTGCTTTGGCTCAGCGGTTAGAGCATCAGCCTGTGGTCCTGAGAGACCCGGGTTGGGTTCCCGCTAAGGGCACGTACCTCAGTTGCAGTTTGTCCCTGGCCCTGGTTGGGTTGTGCGGGTGGCAGCTGCTCGATGTGTCCCTTTCACGTCGATGTTTTTTTCTCTCTCTCCCTCCCACTCTATCTGAACAAAATATCCACACACACAAAAAATGTCCTCGGGTGAGGATAAAAAAAAAAGTTTGTATTTACTAATAGAAATCATTAAAAAAAAAAAAGAGCTCCATGGTGATTCTGGTAGGTATTTGCAAATTAAAGCTATGTTTTCTACTTCCCTAATAACTGTTGTATCTTTTCCCTATTCTCTGTCCCACTGCTACTCAAATTCCTGCCTTTCTCACTTACCCAGACTACTACAGGTAATCTTGCATCTATTATCCATGCTGGCTGGCACAGTATTCTTTCTAACATGCACTTGTCTACTTAAAGTCTTTCAGTGGCTCCCATTACATACAAATTGAAGTCTAAACTCCAAAGTATGACATGCAAGGTCTACCATGATCTGGCCTCTGCTTACCCTTCCACTTTTTTTTTTTTGCCATTCATCCCTCATACCCAAGCTGCCTGTTTTGAAATTTCATGAAAAGACCTGTCTCTTACCATTGTACCTGTTGTTTCCTCTACTTGGAATACCGTTTTTCCTTCACCCTTTCGTGAACACCCAGTAATTCATCATTCAGGTATGACCTGAAGGCTCTCCTAAATCCTTCCCCCCAACCCCCTACCTTGTTTCTTTCTTAGCTAGAGCATTCGCTTGGTTGTTTGTCTGCCTTTAGCAGATGAACTTGAACATGGTCTTAGCTTTTTTTAAATTGTTGACAAGCATATATTTAATTAATATGTTTTTATTGATTTTTTTTGAGAGAGAGAAGAAGGGAGAGAGATAGAAACACCTATGTGAGAGAGAAACATTGATCGGCTGTCTCCCATCCACCCCCTATTGGGGATCGACCTCGAAACCCAGGCATGTGCCCTGACTGGGAATCAAACTGGGACCTCTCAGTCCATGGGACGATGTTCAATCCACTGAACCACACTAGCTGGTCTTAGTTGTTTTTTTCTTTTCTTTATTGATTTGAGAGAGAGAGGAAGGGAAAGGGAGAGAGAGATAGAAACATCGATGAGAGAGAACATTGATTGGCCACCTCCTGCATGCCCCCCACAGGGGATTGGGCCCACAACCTGGGCACGTGCCCTGACCGGGAATTGAACCAGCGACCTCTTAGTGCATGGATTGATGCTCAAACACTAAGTCACACCAGCCAGGCTGGTCTTAGTTTTTTTATATCCCCAATGTCTAAACACAGAGTCTGGCATGTAGTAAGCAGTTGAGTTTACCATTGTCAAATGCATGCATGGAGACTCCTGTGTGACCCCTGAGGAAAAGCCAAAGCCTCTCCAACTAGGCTATCTCTTTCCAACTCCTACAGGATTCCTCAACCTCCCTGCCACCTATTGTGCCTACTCATGTACTCACGCTATGGGTTAACTGGGGCAGCTCTGCCTCAACCCTACCTCCCTGTGCTCCTCAGGTCTTTCACAGAGACCATGAGCTCCCTGTCCCCTGGGAAGCCATGGCAGACCAAGCTGAGCAGTGCGGGACTCATCTATCTGCACTTCGGGCACAAGCTGCTGGCCCAGTTGCTGGGCACTAGTGAAGAAGACAGCGTGGTGGGCACCCTCTATGACAAGGTGGGGACCTGAGGACAGATGCCTTATACATGCATCTCCACCAGGTCAGTTGGGAGTGGCACTCACATAGCACTTAGGACCGGACCTCACATCAGGGTTCCTGGCCCATAGCTAGCCCACTACCATCTCCCTCAGTCAGGCTCATCTTCTCACAAGGGGATGGTTAATCTAACTCTGTCCTGAGGTGGTGGTGAGAAGTAGATGAGGTAACATAGAGAACGGCTTTGAAAACCATAAAGTAACCCTGGCCCGTTTGGCTCAGCAGTTGGGGCATCGGCCTGCGGACCAGAGAGTCCCGGGTTCGGTTCCCACTAGGGGCACGTACCAAAAAAAAGAAAACCATAAAGTAGTGTTTTCCAGTCTTTTCTTTTGACCTGACAAAAAAAATGACTGTTCAACAACTTAGTAATAGAGGAGGCTGCTTATATTTGGAAGCATATGGTTCAGAGGTTCTGGCTGTCCTGAAAGGGGAAAGGGATATATTTTAGGCACCACTGTAATTCACCAGAGGCACATGAATTGGTAAAAGTCTGATTATGAAAATATCTTCGAGTTCCACCAGTGTCCCCTGAAAGCAGTTCAGCAAATTCCTGCTGTTGGGGAAGGAACAGGGCTAATGGCCCTGGCATGCATGTCAGATCAGTGATTCTAAGGACACATACTGGACCCTAGTCTTAAGTTCACAAGTCAAACTTCAGATTCAGTCAGCTCTGTTTTTTGCAAATAGACTGTTCACTTCTCTGACTCAGTTTACCTGTCTTCTGCCCCTATGACACAGCATTAGAATGAACCAAAATATGTAAAGAAATATGAATGGCTCAGTGGCTGAGCATTAACCCATGCATCAAGAGGTTGCCGGTTTGATTTCCGGTCAGGGTACATGCCCATGTTGTGGGCCAAATCCCCAGTAGGGTGCATGCAGGAGGCAGCCACTTGATGTTTTCTCTCATCGATGTTTCTATCTCTCTGTCCCTCTCCTCTCTCTCAAAATCAATAAAGAAAAAAAAAATTTTTTTTGAAAAATATGAATGGTTAAATTGGAGACTTTGGAACACTAAAGTTGTAGACTGCCTGGTTTTCCCTTCTGCAGGGGTTTCTAAGCAATTGAACCAAGGGGTCCAGACCAAGAGGTGTTGGGCTTAGAGAAATTTCTTTTTCAGCTCTCCCTGAGAGGAACACTTTTTCTACATATAACAAATGTGTTGATATGTAAGGACATTTTTTTTTTTTTTTTTTTTTGGCATTTATCTTCAGATAGAGCGGGAGGGAGAGAGGGGGGAAGAGAGAGAAACATCGATGTGAAAGAGACACATCAACTGGTTGCTACCCACACAACCCCAACCGGGGCCCGGGACAAACTGCAACCAAGGTACATGCCCTTAGCCGGAACTGAACCCAGGAGTCTCCGGTCCGCAGGCTGACACTCTAACCACTGAGCCAAACTGGCCAGGGCTATGTAAGCCTATTTTTTAGGGCAATTTTGCCTTCGACACTGATATCCCATATCATTTCTGCCTCCAAACTCTAGAGGCATTGTTCTACCATTTATTTTTTTTGTTTTTAAAAATTGATTTTAGAGAGAGCGCAGGAGAGGGAGAGAGAGAAACATCAACGAGAGAAAACATCTATTGGCCACCTCCTGCACATCCCCCACTGGGGATAGCGCCCATAAACTAGGCATGTGCCCTGACCAGGTATCGAACCAGCAACCTCTTGGTGCATGGGTCGATGCTTAACCACTGCACCACACTGGCCAGGCTTTGTTTAAAATGTTTTTATTTTTTTAGAGAAGGGAGAGAAACATAATGTGAGAGAGAAACATCAATTGGCTGCCTCCTGCATGCCCTCCACTAGGGATCAAGCCTGCAATCTGGGCATGTTCCCTGATCGGGAATCGAACCAGCAACTTCTTGGTGCATAGAACAACACTCAACCACTAAGCCACACCGGCCTGGCCAGTCCTACCATTTCCTTAGGCTCAGGAGATGTTGCAACTGCTGGTGCCATGTGGCATGTCATGGATTTCTCTGGGACCACACCCCACCACTTGATGTCTAGTCCAGCACCCATTCTCCCCCACCAGATTCGTGTGCTTGGCCAGACCCTCCTGGACCTCATTAAACAGGTCACTGAGTAATTTACTCAGCCCTCCCTGGAGATTTAACCCTCCCTCAGCCATAGGGATCCACTCCCACAGAGCCATTCATGGAACTCGAGATCTTCGTTCAGAAGTCAGCAGCCTCCTCCCCACACATGCTGGCCTCAGCCAGGGCTTTGTGTGGTAGAATGAGCACTGGATTAGCAGTCAGATGATCTGAATTCCAGCCCCAGCACTGTTAGCTCTCTGACTTTAAGCAAGCTTCTGGACACCCCGAAACCCCCTTTCCTCATCCAGTTGTTGAGAGATCCTCACAGGCTCATTGCATTGAGAAGACTAAATAAAAGTGTTATGCATCTAACTTTGAAACCCGTAAAACTGTTATGCAAAAGGTCAGTACCCTCAAGAGCATTTCTGCTGCTGTCTTAGATGTATGAGAACTTCGTGGAGGAGGTGGATGCAGTGGATAATGGGATCTCCCAATGGGAGGGGGGAGAGCCTCGATATGCGCTGACCACTACGCTGAGTGCCCGGGTTGCTCGGCTTAATCCCACCTGGAACCAGCCCAACCAAGACACTGAGGTACGGAGGGCCCAAGGGAAGAAAATGAGGCATGTAAGACCTCGGGAGGAAATGAGAGTGTGTGACCCCTCAAACTCTAGCAAAGTCAAAAATTAAGACCAGCACACTGATTCTGATTACCATATGATTCCCAGGCTGGATTCAAGCGTGCAATGGATCTGGTTCGAGAGGAGTTTCTGCAGAGACTAGACTTCTACCAGCACAGCTGGCTACCTGCCCGGACCTTGGTGGAAGAGGCCCTGGCCCAGCGATTACAGGTACAGACCTGGGAGAAGGCACTGTGGCTCAAAGATTAGTGACTACTGATAGGCTGCTGGTCAACAGGGGCTCCTGAATCTTCCAGCCATGCTCCACTTCCCTTTCAGGTGGACCCAAGTGGGGAGATAATAGAACTGGCAAAAGGTGGATGCCCCTGGAAAGAGCACCTTTATCACTTGGAATCTGGGCTAGTACCCCCAGTGACCATCGCCTTTGTTATCTACACTGACCAGGCTGGACAGTGGCGGGTACAGTGTGTGCCCAAGGAGCTCCATTCATTCCAGAGCAGGTGAGGCCCTCGGAGACCACCCTGCAGACCTCCAAGCCTATTGTAGCTCTATCAGAGGAGGCCACTAACCTTGGCCTCTGCTCTGTTCATATTCTCAAGGCCTCCATTTGCTCCCACCAATTTCTTTCTGCTCACTTGTAGGCTGCCTCTGCCAGAGTCATGGCGAGGTCTTCGGGATGAGGCTCTGGATCAAGTCAGTGGAATTCCTGGCTGCGTCTTTGTCCATGCCAGCGGCTTCATTGGTGGGCACCACACACGAGAGGGTGCCTTGAGCATGGCCCGTGCCACCTTGGCCCAGCGCCCAGCACCTATGCCTCCCACAAATCCCCTCATCCAATAAAATTTCTTCCATCTCATACTGACCAAGTCCTTGCCACATTACTACCCTGCACCATCCTAGGAACTTGACGAAACCTGGGAAAAGTAAAGTATCTATTATGTGCCAGAGCCTATACTAGACCTTCAGGGCTGTTGGTATTTTCTCAGCTTTGTTTTCCTAATCATTTGAAAACCACTGGGTTCCTAAGTTAAATAACGACCAAACTTACAAGAAGTGGCTAAAAAGGGACAGAACCAAGATCTTAACACAAAGTCCATGCCCTTTTTTTCTTCACTGTGCCCCAATGCAGTTCCCTTGAAAAGAGTCTCATAACTGAGTGGAAAATACAGATATTCTTATTATTAGAAGTGAGAGTGAGGGGAGTGGGACTGAGAAGGTGGTGGCCCTGGGAGAGGGTCCCAAGGAGCAGAGCTTAGGGATGTCTCTGTAAAGAGTGGCAGATCATGAATAGAACCTCCACCCCCAGCTGGGGGTTCTTGGGTTTGGCCAAGCACTGGGCTAAAATATGGAAACTGGGCATTGACAAAGTACATAGGGATGTGGGTAATTCGGCCTGTGGACCAGCACTGCAGAGAGAGGGGAAAGAAAAGTTTTATCAGAGATTGGGCTCAAAGAAGGCCATATGGCAGAGCCACACAGCAGCCAAGGCCCTCAGCTTCTCCACCCCACTCCCGAAAACCCCAGCAGCCTGGCCTACTCACCACACTGAGCAGAGCCCCTTTGTTGAAGGAAGGATGGAAAGTAATGAGCTGGGCCTGGGCTCCTGGCTCTCCCTGGATAATGCCACTAGAGGAAGAAGAAAAGGTAAGCAGGCAATAGAGACAGAGGCAGGGAAGGCTGGTGAGGAGCCCAGACCTAATGGCCTGCCCAGCACTTACCAAGGAAGTAGCTCAAACACGGGGCTGTTTCGAGTGCGAAAAAGGAGGATGACTGGCTTACCATCCTGGACCCGTGGATTTCCTGTAAGAAATGGATGCAGAGACAGAAAGGAACTCTGGAAGCAGAATCCCAGGGCAGGGGCAGAGAACTGCAGCCAGGGCATGGACACACTCAATGGTAAGATGGCTAGGGCCTGAGCAAAGTCCTTCCTCCCCACCTCCTACCTTTCATGAGTACAGCCAGACGCTCCCCACTGGGGTCCCAGACCATAGAGTGAGCCTCTCCTCCAAGTCTATAGGTCAGAACAGTAGGTTGGGAGGGCTCAGCATGGTCCCTTCCACCTTTCACTGCCTCTTCCCCTCACCCACTCTGCTCACCTTTCCTCTCCATCTGGTGTCTGTACTGTTGTCTCAGACAGATCTGCCACAATTGTTGCTGATTTTGCACCTCCAACGCACCCCTTTCCCTCACCTGTAGATAAGAGCAGAAGTTCTTCAGTATAGGAAACGTGCCTCTGACTTGTCCCCTGCCTCCTGTCACAGGCGTTCATACCTCTCAACTCACCCAAGCTGCTTTACTTCCCTTTATCCTTCAGAACAGCATATTCCAGAGGGTTCCTGCCTCCCCCTGACTACCCCAAATGGTCTGCATCCTGAAGTGTTTCCCCTAACTCACCACAACGTTCTGGGAATGACAAGGAATAAATTAGTGGTTCCCCCAGTACAGTGAATAGCAGCCGGTTTCCATCTGGGCTCCAGCAGCCAGTCTAAGATAGGAAGCAAAATGCAGGGGAAAGGTGGTCTATAGTGGAACGTAGGAGGAAAAAAAGTAGAGGTGGGGAGACAAGCTTAGGAGACCAGGGGCCCACTTCTTCCCCAGCTTCTGTGAATCTTACCTGACATCGCCCTGATAGAGTAGGCCACCTCTCACAAGTCCACATCTGGGCCTCCCAGACTCTGCGCCAGAGAGAAGCAGATCACAGTTTAGGACCTCTGGGTTCCAGAACTTAAACTTCCCTCCCTTCATCAGCCCCAGGGTCAGGTCAAAGAATAGGATGGGAACAGAAGGTCCTTTCTGCTAGAAGTTCCAGGAGCCAAGTGCCTTTCTCCAGGTCATTCATGCCCTCCCTCTGTCCTCCTACTCACCGAAAGACAGCTGAAGGAGTGGAAGCCAGGACTTTGCTGCCATCTGGGGACCAGAGCAGATTGGTAACCCCACCTCCTCGAAACCAGGGAAGGGGAACACAGGTCTCTGTTGCGACATCCCATACCTAGGATAGTGGGGTCAAGAGAGTGAGACAAGCTCTCTCCCGCCACCCAAGATGCCGAAAGAAGGCCAGGGGGGAAGAAGATGGCACCAGCCCCTGCTGTCATGAAGAAGCAGGAGGCCAAAAAGGTGGTAAATACCCTGTTTGAGAAAAGGTCCAAGAATTTTGGCATTGGACAGGACACCCAGCCCAAAAGGGACCTCACACGCTTTGTCAAATGGCCCCACTACATTCGGCTGCAGTGGCAAAGGGCTATTCTCTATAAGCATCTGAAAGTACCTCCTGCCATTAACCAGTTCACCAGGCCTTGGACCGCCAAACAGCTACTCAACTGCTTAAACTGGCCCACAAGTACAGGCCAGAGACGAAGCAAGAGAAGCAGAGGCTATTGGCCCAGGCTCAGAAGAAAGCTGCCGGCAAAGGGGATGTCCCCACCAAGAGGCTGCCTGTCCTTCGAGCAGGGGTAAACACTGTCACCACCCTGGTGGAGAACAAGAAGGCCCAACTAGTGGTGATTGCACATGACGTGGATCCCATTGAGCTGGTTGTCTTCCTATCTGCCCTGTGCCGAAGAAGGGGGTTCCCTATTGCATTATCAAGAGGAAGGCCCGGCTGGGGCATCTTGTCCACAGGAAGACCTGCACCACTGTGGCCTTCACACAGGTTAACTTGGAAGACAAAGGAGCTCTGGCTAAGCTGGTAGAAGCTATCCAGACCAATTACAATGACAGATATGACGAGATCTGCGGCCACTGGGGAGGCAACGTCCTGGGTCCCAAGTCGGTGGCTCGCATTGCCAGCTAGAAAAGGCCAAGGCCAAAGAACTGGCCAAAGAACTTTTCTGTACATAAAAGTAATAAAAATCCTCCCTCAAAAAAAAGAGCCCTGGCTGGTTTTTCTCAGTGGTTAGAGCGTCGGCCTGTGGTCCAGAGAGACCCGGGTTTGGTTCCTGCTAAGGGCACGTACCTCGGTTGCAGTTTGTCCCTGGCCTGGTTGGTTGTGCGGGTGGCAACCACTCGATGTGTCCCTTTCACATCGATATCTCTCTCTCTCTCTTCTTCTCTCTCCCTCCTACTCTATCTGAACAAAAAATGGAAAAATGTCCTTGGGTGAGGATAAAAAAATTAAAACCAAAAAAAAAAAAAAAGAGAGAGAGTAAGACAGGAAACTCAACCACCCCTATCATCTCACAGGATGCTCCCCTTCCTTAAGGTACAAAGAACCAGAAAGGGAAGGAGCAGGAAAGGGGCTGTTAAACAGGAGAAATGGTTTTTATGTTCACAATTATAGCAGGCAGAATTTTTTTTTCCAATTTTCTTTTTTTATCCTCACCCGAGGACATTTTTTCACTTATCTTCAGATAGAGCGGGAAAGAGAGAGAAAGAGAGAAACATTGATGTGAGAGAGACACATCAAGTGGTTGCCACCCACACAACCCCAACCAGGGCCAAGGACACACTGCAACCAAGGTACGTGCCCTTAGCAGTAACCCGAACCTGGGACTCTCGGATCCACAGGCCAACACTCTAACTGCTGATCCAAACCAGCCAGGGCAGCAGGCAGAATTTTAAATCTGAGAGTCTGGATGACTCCTTCCCCGGGTAAGTTTAAGACTGAATGGACAGCCCAATTGGTATGGCCCAGTGCCTGAGTGTCGACCCATGCACCAGGAGGTTGCTGATTCAATTCTGGGTCAGGGCACATGCCCAGGTTGTGGGCCCAATCCCCAATGAGGATCATGCAGGAGGCGGCCAATCAATGTTCTCTCTCACTGATGGTTCTCTCTCTCTCCCTCTCCTTTCCTCTCTAAAAATCAATATAGGAAGAAAAAAAAAATACTGAATGGATAGTCCTGGTTGGTTTGGCTCAGTGATTATAGAGTGTAAGCCCTCAGACTGAAGTGTTGTGGGTTCAATTCCCAGTCAAGGGCACATACCTGGGTTGCAAGTTTTTTTGTTTTTGTTTTTTGATTTTTCAGATAGAGTAGAAAAGGGAGAGAGAGAGAGAAACATCGAGGCGAAAGAGACACATTGGTTGCCTCACACATGACCCTCACCAGGACTGGGAATCAAACCTGCAACCCAGGTACACACCTGTGACTGGGAATAGAACCCACAACCCTTTGGTCCGCAGGCCAACACTCTAACCACTGAGCAAACCAGCCAGGGCTGGGTTGCAAGTTTAATACCCAGCACTGGTCAGGGTTGTGAGGGAGGCAACCAATCGATGTGTCTCTCTCACATTGATGTTTTTCTCTCTCTTCCCCTCCCTCTCTTCAACTCTATCTAAAAATCAATGGAAAAATATACTCCAGTGAGGATTAACAAAAGTAAATACAATAGCCCTGGCCGGTTTGGCTCAGCAGTTGGAGCGTCGGCCTGTGGACCAGAGAGTCCTGGGTTCGGTTCCCACTAGGAGCATGTACCAAAAAAAAAAGTAAATAAAATAAAAATGTTTCTCCTTAAACAATAAATAAATTAAAACTGAATGGACAATTATCCCTCTCCTTCCTGCAAGATATTTTCCATCACTAGGCAAAGAATGCTCTTTCCCATGAACAATGGACATGGACAACAAAGCTGGGGACAGGGCGGGGAGGGTAGGGGAGGGGGGAATCAGTAGGGGAAAAAAAGAGAAACATCTTTAACAAAAATTAATTAATTAATTAAATGGGAAAAAAAAAAGAATGCTTTCCTCAACCTAAGGGGTGGCTGAAATGACTGAAAGAGGGGTGGGGACCAACCTACCAGGATAGCAGCATCCACAGGTGAAGCTGAGAGCAGTAGACCCCCACTGGGGGCCCAGGCCAAGCTGGTGACAGGTGTGTGCCCAGGGTGAGAAAGCACTTGGGCACAGCCAGAAGAGGGTCTGCCAAAGGGAAACAGGGTATGGAGTCACAAGACAACAAGAAAGCCCCATGATTCTATTTCCTTGCCTCCTGATAAAACTTCCAAATCCCAATGGCCCCTCAGAGCTCAAATCCAGGTTGGAGAATATTAATAAGGATCATGCAAGCTGCCTGGCCAGTGTGGCTCAGTGGTTGAGCATCAACCCATGCACCAAGAAGTCATTGGTTCGATTCCCAATCAAGGCACATGCCCAGGTTGTGGGCCAAATCCCCAGTGGAGGGCAGGCAGGAGGCAGCCAATCAATGTTCTCTCGCACTGATGTTTCTATCCTCTCTCTCCTTCTACCTTCCTCTCTCTCTAAAATCAATAAAGAAAAAATAAAAGAATCAATAAAAACATATTTAAAAAAAGAAAACAGCCCTGGCCAGTTTGGCTCAGCGGTTGGAGCGTCGGCCTGCGATCCAGAGGGACCTGGGTTCGGTTCCCACTAAGGGCATGTACCTCGGTTGCAGTTTGTCCCCGGCCCTGGTTGGTCGTGTGGGTGGCAGCCACTCAATGTGTCCCTTTCACATCGATGTTTCTCTCTCTCTGTTCCTCTCTCTCCCTCCCACTCTACCTGAACAAAAAAAAAAAATGGAAAAATGTCCTCGGGTGAGGATTAAAAGAAAAAAAAAAAAGAAAACACCAGCCCTGGCCGGTTTGCCTCAGCGGTTAAGCGTCAGCCTGCAGTCCCACGAGACCCAGGTTGGATTCCTGGTTCCCGCTAAGAGCACGAACCTCAGTTGCAGTTTGTCCCCAGCCCTAGTTGGGTTGTGCGGGTGGCAGCCACTCGATGTGTCCCTTCACATCGATGTTTCTCTCTCTCTCCCTCCCACTCTATCTGAACAAAAAATGGAAAAATATTCTCGGTGAGTATAAAAAAAAAACACACCAAAAATGACCCTCACTTAAAAATAATGGTGACAATGATATCTGTCTTTACCTTGACATTACTGGAAATAACTTTAGTATTTCATATTTCAATTTAATATGGTAGCTACTGATTTTTTTGTTGTTATTCTCACCCAAGCATATCTTTTCTATTGATTTTTAGAGAGAGTGAGGGGAGGGGAGAGAGAAACATCAATGTGAGAAAGACACACTGATTGGTTGCCTCCTGCACACACCCCAACCAGGGCTGGGGATTGAACCTGCAACCCAAGTAAATGTCCTTGACCTGGAATCAAACTTGCAACCCTTTGGTATGCAGGCTGATACTCTAACCACTGAACCATACTGGTCAGGGCGATAGCTACTGATTTTGGGTAAATAGACTTATGTTCAGGTTGTCGCTTTGTATTCCTATTTTACTTTGTGTCTTCAACTAGAATGTCTGCTTTTTCAGAAGGACGCTTACTGATATAAGCATTTTTCTCCATTAATTAATGTAACAAATCATGTGAACAGATTTCCTAATGATGACTAATCTTTAATTTTTGGAATATCCTACATGGTTACAATTTTTAAAAATATGTTTTTGGCCTGGCTCAATGGATCGAGCATCGTCCTATGGACTGAGAGGTCCTGGTTCGACTCCTGGTCGGTCAGGGCATATGCCCAGGTTGTGGGCTAGACCCCCGGTAGAGGGTGTGCAGGAAGCAGCCAATCAATGTTCATGTTTCTCTCTCATCAATGTTTCTATCTCTCTCCCTCTCTCCCTTCCTCTCTCTCTAAAATAAAAAATATATATACATTAAATAAACAAAGCCAAAATAAACTTTATTGAAAGAAAAAAGAAAGGATTTCCCAATTTTTCTATGATCTGGATGAAGATATCTTTTCTTTGACCATTAGATAGCTCTCATAAAACCCTCTCATTCTGGCATGGTTTTAGTGGTAGAGCTCATCCCTTTTGATTTTTCAACAATCCACTTTGGTAATTTACATTTTGCCAGAAAAGCAAACATTTCCTTTAGATTTTCAAATCTGTTAAATTTGTATGTAATATTCTCTAATAATACTATTTTATTCTATATCTGTGCTTATGTCTCCATTCCCATTCTGAAAATAGGGAACTTTGACTTTCTTTTACCTCAATAAGGCTGGCCAAAAGGTTTCTTTCTTTATTCATACTTTACAGAACCATTTTCTGATTTTATATTTAGTTAGCTCTCCTGGGAATTATTTTTCCAATTTCATTTGTTTCAACTTATATCCATATTAATTCCCTTCCCACCTTCCTTTAAACCTATATCTGACAGTCCTCTAAAAAAGACAGTCTTGCTTGGCTGGTGTGGCTCAGTGGTTGGGCATCGATCCATGCACCAAGAGGTCACCAGTTCGATTCCCGGTCGGGGCACATGCCCAGGTTGTGGGCCCAATCCCCAGTGGAGGTCACGCAGGAGGCGGTTCTCTCTCATCGATATTTCTATCTCCTTCCCTCTCCCTTCTTCTCTCTCTAAAATCAATAAAGAAAAACTGTCCCTTTCTCCAGATTAAAATATTCTCAGGACCTCCACCTTGACCTTAGGTCTACTTCTCCCATGGAAAGCGCTGTGAGGACAAAGAAGTTCTCCTTCCAGACTTCCTCACTTCCACTAACAGGGCCACAACCTCAGGCCAAGGTAAGACAGAGTGGGACTCACCTGGTAGACAAGGAGGTGGGGTCCAGGGTCCAGATGAGAATGCAGCTCTGGCAGGCCACAGCCAAAACAGAGGCACTGAGGGGCTTCCAGGCCACAGCTGCCACATTTCGCTGCAACCGGTGCTTCAGAGAGGGGACTATAGTGCTGGGATGAAAGGATAGGGGACTGAGTCAAAGCAGGAACACTAAGGCTCAGGGGACCTGAGTACAGTTGAGAGGCAAATCTACAGAGAAGAAGCTGATCATCCGGAGCCCAGGGTATTGTGGGACAGAAGGATAAGATAAAGGTTATATCTGAATAGAGGACACATCCAGCTCTGGAAGGGATCCTATGGACCAAGCCCATGAACTGCAGGACTCCCCTGGAACCAAGGCTAGAGAGGGAAGTAGAGACTAATTCATGGAGACTGAAGAGTAAAAGCCTGCCCAGAAGGCCCCCACATACCTGTTAACATTATACACACGGACTGAATCATCTAGCAAGGCCACCGCAAACTTGTTGGTGTGGGGGTGCCATGCAAAGACCCGTAAGCAGCAGCTGGACCTGGGGCAGGAATGAACATGAGGAGTCCAAACCTACATCTACCCTTACCCCAGCCCAGAAGCTCAGATTCCCTTTAACAAGAGGACATTACTGTTTTTCACTTTTTCTTTTCTTTCTTTTTTTGGAAGGTAGAAAGAGTAAGAATGTGTGCAGCAGTCCAGTCAGGAAAGGGGTGTGAGGAGTCTGTGAACAGAATTCCCACTCCCCAAAAGAAACTGCAAGGTTCAGGAATTCTTTCCTACAAAAGCCCCAGAACTTGTACACTCACCAATTTGTGACTTGGGCAAATTCAGCAATCAGATCTTCGCTCCTGAGCTGTAAGATAAAATCAAATAGAGAATGCACTGGGACAAAGGGAGCTTAACCCTATAATATTCCCACTGGACCACTCCCACCTTCTGCAGGCTTCCTACTCCACCCTGCCCTTAAGGAATAGGAAAAAAAGAAGAGGGGTGGGAGTGGGAAGAGTCAAGGGAGGAAGCCAAACTTACAGACAAGTGTGGGAAGAGGGACCCATGAAGGGAGGAGGCCCATCGACAGAGTGCCAGGGCCCAACTGGATGCAGTCTTCACCCATTCAAACACTGTGGGGTTGAGGAAGCAGCTTTGATTAAACCATTCACAGGGCTCTAACTGGACAAGCACTCTCTAGATCCTACCATCCAACAAATGCTTCTGGACACCCACTTCGGGGTATGCGGGGTAGGTGGAGGGGAGAAGTAAAGATGGCAGAAATATAGACAACTGGGCCAGGAAAAACAGGGGAAGGGGCTGGGCCAACAGGTACCAAGATGAGTTAGGGAGAACATGCAGGGGAGTTGCCAACAGCAAAACTACAGAGGGCTGGAGGTAAAAATACTTACCCTCCTCCTCTGAGTTTGCAATTTCATTCAGCACCCCAAATAAGCCCATATCACACCTGATGAGGAGAGGAAGTAAGTCAAATTACTCTGATCTCTTTAGTCTACCATCTAGAAGTTTCATTCATTCATTCAATAAATACGTATTACAGCCCTGGCTGGTTCGGCTCAACGGTCAGCACATCAGCCCTCGGACCAAGGGATCACAGGTTAGATTCTGGTCAAGGGCATGTACCTGGGTTGCAGGTTCGATCCCCCACTCGGGTTGGGGTCGTGTAGGAGGCAACCAATCAATGTCTCTCTCATATTGATGTTTCTTTCTTTCTCTCTCTCTCTCTCCCTCCCCCCCTTCCACTTTCTTTAAAAATCAACCGATGGCCCGGCTGGTATGGCTCACTGGTTGAGCGTCGACCCATGCACCAAGAGGTCGCCGGTTCGATTCTGGGTCAGGGCACATGCCCAGGTTGTGGGCCAAATCCCCAGTGGGGGGCATGCAGGAGGCAGCCAATCGATGTTCTCTCTTATGGATGTTTCCATCTCTCCCTCTCCCTCATATCAATAAAGAAAAAAAAATTTTTTTAAATCAATGAAAAAATATACTTAAGTGAGGATTAACAAAACAAAAAAAACATGGATTACAAATAAGAGAATTCACATTTATTGAGTGGCAACTATGCTCCATGCACTTTATATATTGCCCTTTCTTTTTTTTCTTTTTTCTTTTTCCCTTTATTGATTTTAGAGAGAGAGGAAGTGAGAGAGAGCAAGAGACAGAAACATCGATGAGAGAGAACACAGACTGGCCACCTCCTGCATGCCCCCGACTGGGGATTGGGCCCACAACTTGGGCATGTGTCCTGACCGGGGATCGAACCGGCAGACTCCTGATTCATGGGTCGACACTCAACCACTGAGCCATACTGGCTGGACTATATTGCCTTTCATTTAATTATCACATTAACACATTGCGTACTACATAGAAATCTCTAAGACATACGCCAGGGACCGCACGTTTTTGGGCAAACTGCATGTTAGGTTCTGAGCTGCACTCATCTGAACCAGCAGGTATCCATTCCCTAGCTACTTCAAGAGCATAGAACGGTGTGCTGTTTTTCGAACTTCGACCCTCAGGGTGAAGAGTCACAAATACAATAATCCTATAATACCCTGAGTTTCAAAAACTGAAATAGCTAATGCAAGTGCAAACCCGAGTTAACTTGTGCGCGGTCCGCAATGTTTGGGCAGGAAAACATGAGTTAACTCATGAGCGGTCAAAAATGTGTTAAAATGAGCATTCTGCACATTTTACCAATTAGGCAACTAAGGCTCAGATGTCTTTCAGAGCTTTGTGAGTAGGTCAAGGGGTCAAGATTTGCCCTAAGACGGTGAATGAAAAGCCATGGAAAAACATTAAGCAGCCCTGGCCGGTTTGGTTCAGTGGTTAGAGTATCGGCCTGCGGTCCAGAGAGACCCGGGTTTGGTTCCCGCTAAGGGCACATATCTCGGTTGCAGTTTGTCCCCAGCCCTGGTCAGGTCATGTGGGTGGCAACCACTCGATGTGTCCCTTTCACGTCAATGTTTCTCTCTTTCTCTCTCCTTCCCGCTCTATCTGAACAAAATATGGAAAAATGTCCTCGGGTGAAGATAAAAAAAAAAAAATGTAAATAAAAAAAAGAACATTAAGCAGAGGAATAAACTGATAACGTTGGCATTTTAAAAAATCAGTCTGGCTGCAGATTAGAGAGTGCATCTGGCAGACAAGTGAACACCCAGATGTGAAGCATCAGATGCAAGTCCAGCCCAAGACACCAACATTTAGGGGACATCAGGAAGAGAAGCAGCAGCTGGAGAAGCATAAAGTAAGAAAGGACCGAGGACTGAATAGCTTTCAGACAATTAACTGATGTTTAACTTCATTTACACAAAGAGACATGAAAATTAAACCATACTGTTGCAGTTTGTCCCCGGCCCTGGTTGGTCGTGCGGGTGGCAGCCACTCAATGTGTCCCTTCACATCGATATTTCTCTCTCTCTCTCTCCCTTCTTCTCTCTCCCTCCCACTCTATCTGTACAAAAAAATGGAAAAACATCCTTGGGTGAGGATTAAAAAGAAAAAGAAAGAAAGAAAATTAAACCATACTGTAATACCAGATAATGAAGTTTGATAGTACATGTGTTGGGAAACAGGCACTCTCATACACTGCTGGTAGGTAGGACTGTAAATATGCACAATTTCAAAGGAGTAATTGACAACAGCACATAAAATTACAAATGAATATACCCTCTGAACCCAGCTAATTCATTTGAATTTGTAGGAATTCACTCTACACATGACAATGATAATACCTAACTCTTCAGGGGATTCATGTGGGCCAAGCACAGTTCTCGAAGTGTTTTAGATCTACTAACTTATTTAATCATCACTACAACCTTGTAAGATAGGTTCCATTTTACAAATGAAGAAACTGAGGGACAGAATGATTAAGTAATTTGCCCAAGGTCACATAGCTAAAAAGTGGCACAGCCAGGAAATGAATCCAGGCAGTATGGGAAAGCACACCTGGAGTTTTTCTCCTATATATGCAAAATGAATAACCTAGGCACAAGGTTATTCACTGCAACTTTATACCCAACCTTGCTGAGCTTCCGGTAAAGGCTAAGAAAGTGGTAATAACATAAGGTGGGGGTAGGAAGTAGGTTCACATAATCAAACCAGAAAGCAAGGCAAGTCACTGAAGATGAAATGGAAATATTGTTGCACAGCCTTGAGTTCCACAATAAGGACTGATAATCTGAATGATACATGGCTGAGCTAGAGAGAGCCTAGCAGCCTGAAGCAGAGGAGTGGTGACCTCATTTTCTCCAAGATCTGTAGACCATGGCCCAGGAGACCCTTTGCATGTCTCACCAAATATTGATGCATCTCTTCCACACTTGCTCCCGATGATGGATGAAAGCAGTTCTTGTGCCATGGTCCAGCCTCCCAGGGGTCTTCAGGGGATCCTTAGACAGGTTTAGGACAGGAAAATTGATCCACTATAGCACAGAAATGAGAGGTGTAACAGTGAGTCAGTCTCTTTCCCAGCTCTCTGCTGAACTCCCTGCTCTCTCCAACCCATGGCTAGACGAAGGGTAAAAGGCTCCAGAGACCTGTTTCCCATTTCCAAAAATACAACACTTGAGAAACCAGAAAACAGGTCTTAGCTCTCTTCTCTGTAAAACTACAATAATACTTCATAGAATTGCTGTGATTATTAAATCTTATATTTGTGAACACCTTACTCAGAGCCTCCTTCTTACAGAACTCTCAATACTTGTCAGTTTTTCTTCCTTTTCCTTCCCAGCAGCACGGGGGGGGGGGGCGGGGGGGGGCTCCAGGTGTGCCTTCCCGGTTCCCCAGATACTGCCCCCAACTTTTCAGTGTTTCTCCCGTACCCTCACATCTCCTAGATTTGCCCTCACATTCTCTCCACTCTCTCTAGGCCTGCCTCACAGTTCCTCAGAATCCCTCCTCCTCCAATCCCAGTCCTAAAATACATTCCTGCCCTTCTATTCTTCTCAAACCCCGGCCAGGCGGTTTCCAGTCCGCCAATGTGAGGACCACAACCCCGCCCCCGCCCCCGCCATGCTGCCTCGAGTCCCGGGTTCTCCCTGACTCCGCCTCACGTCTGCAGGTCCCCCCCTCCCTTCTCCCGCTGGCCACCTGGCCCCGGAAGTCAGGAGGCGGACTCTCATAGCTATTGCCTGTCACGAGCTCGTTATTTTGCTCGTATAGGGTGACTTGACCCCTAGGCGGAGGCCGAGGGAACAAGCCTAGGGAGCACATCTTGCCGGTCCCGAAGATGTCCGGAATTGGCAAACTCGCGAATCTCGCTCCTCTCTTAGTTCCCGGGCTAGATTCGGACGCGTACGGATAGCCGACTGGGACAAACAGGGCTGCAAAGCTCAACGGAAGTGAAGAGGATAACGGAGAAGAAGGACGCGTGTGCAGTCCGGGGACAGACTTCCAGAGCTTCCTCGCGCGCCGCCTGGCGGCGGGAAGGGGAACGTCGCGGACACGTCCGTAGGGTCAGCCCCTTAAGGCACCGGAGGTTTTTGTTTTTTCCTGTGGGGCTGCTGTTTTTCCCAGTTTCAAATTCTCCAACAGTCTCCCACTCTCTCGGCGCTCTAAAAGTTCCGAGGAAAATACAGGCAGTCACCCGGGCAGCTGGCTGGAAAGCCTCCAGGAGAAGAAAAGTCAGAAAAGACCTTGAGAGTAAGAGCGTTGCACCCGCCCGAACCCAGGGCCCACAGGGTTAGGCGTCCGGAAGGAAAAAGGGGAACAGTTGGAAAACAGTCAGATTTCCTGAGCACTTATTATAAGTGCTTTTATAATCTTTACAACAACCCCCTGAGGTAGGTACTATGAAGAGAGTGAGACACGGAAAATTTTGACCTAAAAATACCAAAACCAGCCCTGGCCGGTTTTGCTCAACGGTTAGAGCGTTGGCCTGCGGTCCAGAGAGACCTGGGTTCAGTTCCTGCTAAGGGTATGTACTTCGGTTGCAGTTTGTCCCTGGCCCAGGTTGGGTTGTGTGGGTGGCAGTCACTTGATGTGTCCCTTTCACGTTGATGTTTCTCTCTCTCCCCCACCCACACTATCTGAACAAAATAAGGAAAAATGTCCCCGGGTGAGGATAAAAACAAAACAAAACCAGGCATTCTGACTTTAGAATAAAAGTGAAATAGGTCATATTCTAACTCCAAGAGATGGAACTGGAGTCTACAGCTGCATGAATTTGGAAAAATCGTTGAATTCTTTGAGCCTGGGCTTCCTCACTTGCAGAGTGTCCTAATTATTTCACATGGTTGTTTACCATTCAAAATAATGGAAATGAAGCCATTTAATAAAGTATAAAGTGTGAAACAGGTATCAGAGATCATTAGCCATAAGAACCTTGAACTAAATGGCCTTGAGCATTGGTTCTGTCATATAAAAATATTAATGAGCAAATTCCAAGAACCATGCTCTAGGGACAGAGAAATGTTTAAGGCATAGTCTCCATTCCCAAGAGCTGCCAATCTCCTGGGATACTCTAGGGAGCATTCTAGTTTAGCCTTCCTAGATTCTGTGTCTGCCACTCGGCTCTACATGAAGAGTTCCCCCCAAGACTTAATCCCAGCCCTGGCAGGTTTGGCTCAACAGGAGAACATTGGCCCTCAGACCAATGAATCTCTGGTTCCATTCCGACCAAGGGCATGTACCTGGGTTGTGGTTTAGCCCTGGCCCTGGTCGGGTCATGAAGGAGGCACAATGTGTCCCTCTCAGGTCAATGTTTCTCTCTCCCCCCACCCCATGCTATCTGAAGATAAATAGAAAAATAACCTTGGGCCCTGGCCAGTTTGGCTCAGCGGTTAGAGCGTTGGCCTGCGGTCTGGAGAGACCCGGGTTCGGTTCCCGCTAAGGGCACGTACTTCGGTTGCAGTTTGTCCCCGGCCCTGGTTGGTCGTGTGGGTGGCAGCCACTCGATGTGTCCCTTTCATGTCGATGTTTCTCTCTCTCTCTCTCTCCCTCCCACTCTATCTGTACAAAAATTGCAAAAATGTCCTCGGGTGAGGATAAAAAGAAAAAAAAGAAAAAAATAACCTTGGGTGAGGATTTTTTTTGTTTTGTTTTTGTTTTGTTTTTTTTGGTATGTGCCCCTAGCGGGAACCGAACCTGGGACTCTCTGGTCCGCAGGCCAATGCTCCAACCACTGAGCCAAACCAGCCAGGGCGGTGAGGATTTTTTAAAAAAGTGATTCCCAGGTCAGAAAACAAGGGGCTCTAGAATGTTAATGGCCATAGGACTCATCTGAGGATCTTGCTAAAATGCAGATTCTGGGTGGACCTCTGAAAATGAATTTCCAAAAAGCCCCCAGATGATACTGCACAGACCACACTTTGAGTAGCCTCCCCTCTCCTTTATTTTGTTTTGTTTTGTTTTTTTGTTTGTTTGTTTTATCCTCACCCGAGGACACTTTTCCCATTTTTTGCACAGATAGAGTGGGAGAGAGAGAGAGGAAGAGAGAGAGAGAGAAACATCGACGTGAAAGGGACACATCGAGTGGCTGCCACCCGCACGACCAACCAGGGCCAGGGACAAACTGCAACCGAGGTACGCGCCCTTAGCGGGAACCGAACCCGGGTCTCTCCGGACCGCAGGCCGATGCTCTAACCGCTGAGCCAAACCGGCCAGGGCTCCCCTCTCCTTTAATATGCTAGATTTGTTCACTGTCGCCTGGGAAGTCACAGAAGACTTAAAGAGCATAATCTAAAAACCCTTTGGGGAAACTTGTTGGGAAAGCTCTCCTTAAAAAAGAGAAGCAGGACAGGTTTGAAGGTACAGGGAGTCCGTGGCTCTGACAGATTAGTGGAGAGCACTAAGAACACCACAAAGTTTTTGTTTTATCTCAGTTGTGACACCATCCAACCCGAAGATACCCCCAAGAAATCACCATGGCCTGGGCCTGCAACTTCCACCTCCCTTTGATGAAGCCTGATTTTCACCAACAGGTTGTGTTATAATTATTGGTTGGGTGTTTGCCTCTTAACCTGTAATGTGAACTGGAAGGAGGAACTGTGCTACGTGTATTCACATTACGCCACCACCTTCCCCATACTTCTTATTTAATGTTCCTTGAATATTTTTCACAACTTGCAGATTCTAGGGAGGATGAAGCCCAGGCCTAGCGCACTCCCCACTAACTTCACCAGGGGGCGCGGCGGCCCCGGCGACACAGCGACTGTGACCCACAGCCCCGGGGGCGGGGAGAGCTTAGCGGGAGGTCTCCACCGATCCCCTACAACCTGGGCGGGAAACCAAGGCAGCGCCCAGGCTGCTGCCGGAGATTTCTAACATGGGCCCCCCTCTTGGGGAGGCACCGTCGGAGCCTGGGTGCTTGGAACTCGGCCTGCTGCCCCTTCCTGGGCGCCCCGGCCGGGGCCGGTAACCAGGCGCACATGGCCCGCCTGGCCCTGTTTGTCCTGGCGGCGCGCCGCCGCTATTTGAGGCGGTTTTTATCTCCCAGAAACCAGCAAAACCCCAAGCGGAGTCTAGGGAAGATGAAAGGGGCCGAGGAGCTGGGAGGGGAGGACCACGGGGCTGCGGCGGGCTGGAGCTGGCACCGGGCAGGCGGAGACCGGGAGGCAAGAGGGCCAGGCCCTGGGGGGTCCGGAGGAGCCCGCCGAGCGGGCAGGGGTGGGAGTACGGGGTCCACTCCGGGTCTTCTCTCGCGGGCCAGATTCCAGCCGTCCCCCGCCCTCAGCCATCCCAACCCCCTCTCCCCAGCCCGCCTCCCGCCACTGCCCCCAGCCCACTGGAGATGTCCTCGGAACGCGGATTTCTTCAAAGCGCTTTTGAAGCCGCGCCGCTCTGGAGGGCAGATTTCGCACCTGGCGGAGGGCGGCCGAGTGGGGAGGGGGCTAGCACCCCGAGACCGCCCGGTTCGCCGCCTCGGACCCGCCGCCCCCTGCCCCCCTCCTCCGGCGCCGCGCCGCAACATGGGTCCCGAACCCGGAGAGGGACGTAGGGCTGGGGCGCCGCCCGCAGTCGGGCCCAGGCCGGGGGCGCGGCCGGGGAGCCCCCTTACCCCAGCGGGGAGCAGTAGGGGGTGAGGACCGCACAAAGCCCTATTGTGGGTGGGGGATGGCCGCCACAGAGTGGCTTTTGTTCCTCCGCTAACTCTGTGGCGGGCACAACTGATTGCGGCCGGACAGGGGGCGGGTTACGTGCCAGGCCGCGGCCGCCCGCCGGGAGCCGCCCTTCGGCAGGTCTGGGGCCGCGCGGTAGTCCGCTTTGCGCCCGCGGGACCGGTATTCGGTCCGGGTGCCTTCCCTGGCCTGCCGGGGTTCATTGGTGCAGAGTCCGAGAAAGAGCAGCAAAAGAAACCTCTCTGCCTTCTCAACTCTGCAGAGAGCTCTGTGCAGTCAAACACTGAATTCTGCTGGAGGCCCCGGCGGACGAAGCATTCTGCCGCGGGCATAACGTGCAAACCAGCACGTGGAACGTCCATGGGGAGTCCCCAACTTGCCAAAGAAAAATCCTGTGGCTCACTCTTTTTCTTTCTTCTTCCCTTTTTCTCACCAAGACAAAGTTTAAAATCGAACTTTTATTTATTAAATTAAAAAAAAAAAAAGACTCCATGAGGGCATGATCCCTTCCCTTCCATTGTATTACCCTCTCCCCAAGCTCCAGCGGCTTTAACCCTTTGACTTGGGGCCTTGAGAGAGCAGGAGATAGAAAAGGAGGATCCAAAGTCACAGGAAAGGCATTCAAAGGCACGAAGCGGCTTTAAAAGTCACTGGAGATGGAGGTGGGAGCATAGGAAGTCCTGGTTGGAGGCCTATTACGCACCCAAATCAGCTTAGGGACCTATGTCCTCCTAGCTCTATAAATTCTTTTCATGGCTTCTAGGCACCAGCCTTGCCCACAGTGCCTTGCCGTGTAGGCACTCAATAAATACTTGATTTATTTGAATCTGTTCCCAGAGAAAGCCTTCCCCACCTATATTCTTCAGGAGAGGCACCTCGAAACCAATGTACTCCTCCTGTTAGGTGGGCTTCTCCAAAAAGCCTATCTAAGATGGCAACTGCAAATTCTCCATAACCATGACAATAAGGAATTAGCCTGATCTGGTCATGGTGTCAGGGGAGGGGTAGTGGAAAAACCTGTTCTGGGTTTGAGGGAGCTGGGGTACATTCCAGTCCCCCCCCTCCATAGGACTTGAGGTTTCACAGCTTCTGGCTGGGGGTGGGAATATTAGGGATCCTCTAATTGAGAGATACCCCATCAACTCTTTAACAGATCTAGCTAATGAACCCTATTAGCAAAGATTCCATTAAAAGAGAAACCCCATTAACTGAGACCCTGATGATAGAAATTCTATTAACAAGATCTCC